AGCTGCTGTGGAAGTGCATTCACTGCATTTCTCCCCAGAGTCCAATTTGCAGACAAGTGTCATGTGAGTTTGGGGCAGAAGCTGACTATGGATTCCACTGCTTGGTTTGTGACATCGGAAGCCCACAGTGGTAAGTCCCACCCCCTGTTGAGTTTTGCAAATGCAACAAGCAAATGTTGAATTGGCTAAGCTTGCATGTGGTTTAAAGAAAACACATCTGACCTATGGGACAGATATGAGTTTTCATTCAGTGTTCAATTCATTGACAGATACAGCTATCAAAACAATGGTAAAGCACAACTAGGCATTAGGCTTTCTCCATGGGAGGTGGGACAGGGGTGGGGAATTCCCCCTTTTAAGTAACATCAGTATGGACCTGTGTCACTCTGGCCAAACAGATTTTTGCAAGTTTCTGAAACAATATTAAAGCCCTTGGAACCTTTTTACTAGAGGCAAAAGTGGAATAAGCAGAGAGATATTTTTCCAACAACTTCCAGCTCTTGGGGTGAGAAAAAAGCATTTTAGCTGCCTTAAATCTCTGTGTTGGAAAGTAGAAAAACAGTTTCAATACTGTAGTCAGGCACAATTATTCTGAGTGTCAACAGGAAGCAGATAGTCATTTTTTCAAAGAAAAACCAGTGACTTTTCAGAGTAAAACCACACACCCCGTAAAGTGTGAAACTGCACACACTATTTGTTAAAAGTTGTGAATTGAATTTAGTGCCTTTCATCTGGGGTTTTTAAAATGCTATTTGCACAGCACATAGGGCACATTACACTTCACACAGCCTTTAAAATGTAAATTAAAAATGCTTTTAAAAGCAGACTAATCATTTGTCATGTATGATAATGACTTAAGATGCAGTCCTGTACGCAGGTTGTTACTTGCACTCCTAGTCATGGGTCCCCTGCAGATGGCATGGATCCAGTATTTAATCCATATTTTATGAATGTCCCTTAGACTGTGGTGCCTTGAGAACACGTCCAAAGAAGCCAGAGACTACCAGTGTGGATACTCCCGCAGGGGGATTAAAAAAAACCTCTACTCACTTCAGGGGCATAGGAGGGGGCGGGGCCAGGTGCCATCATGGAGGGGGGTGACAAATTATCAAGGAACAATTACTGCCCTACTAGGGCAGTTCATAGGGATGTGGGTGGCCCTGTGGTCTAAACCACAGAGCCTAGGGCTTGCCGATCAGGTTGGCGGTTCGAATCCCCGTGACGGGGTGAGCTCCTGTTGTTCGGTCCCAGCTCCTGCCAACCTAGCAGTTTGAAGGCACATCAAAGTGCAAGTAGATAAATAGCTACCGCTCCGGCGGGAAGGTAAATGGCATTTCCGTGCGCTGTTCTGGTTATGCTGGCCACATGACCCAGAAGCTGTCTGTGGACAAAGGCCAGCTCCCTCAGCCGGTAAAGCGAGATGAGCGCCGCAACCCCAGAGTCGTCCGTGACTGGACTTAATGGTCAGGGCTCCCTTTACCTTTACCGCGGTTCATAATTTATTTATTTTTTTAAAATGCCTGCTCCAAAGGTCATATCTTACTGCACTAGGGATTATATAGCTACATATGAAATTTCATGCATATCAGTTAATATCTTGACCCTTCACAAAAATAACTGTTTACTTGGCCGTTTTCCTATGTCGTGAAGGCTGAAATGTCAACAAAGCATGTGCCTTTGCTAGACTCTTTTCAGGCACCTGCTAAAAGCATTCTTCTTTATGCAAGCATACCTAGATGCTTAGGAAGTTGAAGTAATTTTAATCTTAATATTTTAGCTTTTGTATGTTTTAAAGTAGGATTGTTAATTTTTCTTGATTTTTACTGCTGTGGTGTTTTTTTGTTTTGGTAAACCACTCGGCAGGCTTGTAAATTAATTTTTTGTAAATAAATAAGCAATAAATATAAATAAAATAACACAAGCCACCCTGTAGATTTAAGTTGTCCATAGTCGCCTACTTGTTATCAGAGGATGAGAATCCACATTCCTTTATAAGAAAATATGAAATAACGTAAAACCATTTTTGCAGGCAAAGAAAATAAAAAAAATGTGTGTGGGGGGGTGACAAGAAATTTTCTGCACCGGGTACCACCTGACTTTCCTATGCCTCTGACTCACTTATCCTTTGGCTGAGAGAGGGTCATATGCATATCATTCCTGCATATATGTTGGGCAGTGGCCATTTAGATCTTCAAGCCTGTTGTAGGAACCATCTCTTTGAATAAATAGCACAAAATACAGAGATGCAGCGGAGTGTTATTCCCTCAACATGAAGTCACTGTCTGCAGCCAAACACCAACGTCCGTTTACAGCAGGGATGTGGAATCCAGGGGCTAAATGTGGCCCTTGACGTTCTCTTTCTGGCTCTCAGAACTCTCCCCAGGCCATACCCCACACTGCCCTAAAGCCACTGGGAAACCGACACAGGGACGGCATTAGAAGCACCACACCCACTTGAATATTTTTTGTAAAGGCCTTTCACAGCAAAGAGCTGTTGTTTTCCTTTTATCATTTCTGCCATGGTGAAATTTATTTGCGTCATTCCTTAATTTGACATAGCCGCCCAGAAATATTCCCTGGGTGGCTTAGCAGAGGCAAAACAATGTTTAACAGAAGTATAGTATTAAATCCAACATTTTTGTTCCTGGATAAAAATGTGCGGCTCTGCCTGCTTTTTGATGCCAAGTGTACAGTGGGACCGTGGAAGAGCATTCTTTGTAGGGGATATGACATGCCCACAACCTGTACTTTCCTGAAACAACTGAAAGGCATTCTTCCCCCCTTTTGTCTTGATGAGCTTTTTCAAGTGGGTTTTAGGTGTTCATTTTTGTACCAAACAGCTCTGCCCTAGGGGTTCATTGTGTATCGCTTTTAAACCATTTTCCAGCACCGTTTATAAAGCTGCTTTTAACGTACAGCGGCAAATAGCCTCAAGAAATTATAATTAATTTATTTATACCCCACCCTTTCCCCTGACAGGGACTCAAGGTGGCTTACAGTTAAAAACATAAAGTGCTGTTTATACATGTTTAGAGGGCAGTTCATAAACAACTAACAAGAGCAGACATTTAATATGAGTTTTGTTGGGGAGGTAGGCTGTAAGGGAGAACCTTCTGACCCTTGGAACTAGCGAGTGCTAAAATAGAAACCAGGCAAGCTTCCCATGTCAGGGTGATCGCCTGGGTCATTAGGCCAGTGTTTCCCAACCGGTGTTCCGCGGCACACTAGTGTGCCGCGAGACGTTGCCTGGTGTGCCGCGGGAAAAATTAAAAAATTCTAAATATATCTGGAGAGGCGGCCTTCAGGCGAGTTTTAATTTTAATTTTCCTTCTCCCACTTAATGCCCCACGCTCGCCCAAGCAGCTTGCAGTCCTCGGTAACCACGGCGACCCGAGGGAGGGGAGGGAACAGGGAAGTCGAGGGCGGCGGCGAGCCGCGATGACGTCAGTGGGCCGCGCCGCCTCGCCCTGGCACGGTGTGAGAGCCCCGGCTAGTGGCGCGAGCTTCAGAATAAGTGGGATCCGCGTGCGCGAGACCGAGATCGCGGGTAAGGAGCTCAGCCCTGGGCAGGAGGAAGTGGGGCCGCGCATGCGGGCCACATCCCCACAGAGAGCGAGCCTCCCCCGGCCCACCACTCTGGGCAGGTCCACTCGCATGAGGGGGCGGCGATGGCGACGGCCGGCAGCTTGCCTGCAATGCCATCCCTCGAGCAGGCGAGGAGCCCGGAGGCTACCAGATGCGAGTCCTCTTTCCCACCCTGCTCGGGAGTCCAGAGCACTTGGTCGCATTCAGGATCTAGAGTGGGGAAGCGGGGCTTGTGTCTGGGCTGGACACATTGGGCTGCCTGTGCCGCTCGACCTGCGGGGAGAAATCAGGGTGGGAGTCACGACCGTGAGGCAGGGCTGCCAAGTGTGGCAGAAGAGGACACGGCCGTCGCACCTGTCCTTAGGTAGGAGCTTCTTCCGTGTCGACCTGCTGCTCTAAAGTCTTGGCTTTTTTCTTGGCTTTTTGGCGGTTGGCACAGAAGGAAGGCAAGGGGGAGGGGAAAAAATTGAAACTTACACTTTCATGCGTCCCTCCCGGCGTGACGCTGCGCGCTGACGTCACGGGGCTGTAATGGTGGTGTGCCTCGAGATTTTTTTCATGAAACAAGTGTGCCTTTGCCCAAAAAAGGTTGGGAAACACTGCATTAAGCAAAAAAAAAAAAAAAGAAAAAAAAGGGGGGTAGTAGTTAGAAGGGTAAGGTCATACCCAACATTTCTGAGATGAAAATAGGGACATCCTACCATACCCTCCAATATTTATCTGATGAAAATAGGGGCATCCTAAGGAAAAGTGGGATATCCCAGGATCAAATCAGAAACCAGGACAGCTTCTGTAAATGCAGGACTGTCCCTGGAAAATAGGGACATCTGGAGGGCCTGCAAAGCCAGAGTTCAAGGTTATGTTGCAGTGATGTGACCTAGAAAGAAAGCAGCAAACTGTAGGAAAAGTCAGATCAACAGTTTAGGAGCAATGTTTGATTTCTGTTTGAATCCAAGACTGCAGCTATCGGGGGCAAAAAAAAAAAAAAAAAAACACTTTTGGAAGGCATTGATGCTGTGAACCCCTCCATCACAGCCTCGGGTGTCCCAAAGCTGGGTCTCCAGCTGTTTCTGGGTTTCCCAAAGCTGGGTCTCCAGCTGTTTTTGGACTACAACTCCCATCACCCCTCCATCGCAGCCTCAGGTTGTGTAAATCAGGGTTTCCCAAAGCTGGGTCTCCAGCTGTTTTCGGGACTACAATTCCCATCATCCCTAGCCGGCAGAACCAGTCACCAGGAATGATGGGAACTGTAGTCCCCCCAAAAAAGCAGGAGCCCCAACTTTGGGAAACCCTGGTGTAAATAAACCAGGCATCCAAAAGACACCACAGTCTCCGCTGCGCCTCATTCCCCAAAGGAAACGGGAATCTTGGGGGGGGGGGAGCGCCAGGACCAACTGGAATCTCGCAGCAAATAGGTTTCCACAAGGAGCAAGCCGAGGGGTACACAGCCGCCTGCCCCGAGGAGAATACAAAGGCGGCGACGGCGGCACCCTCCGGCTCCTCCTCGCGGCCTTCCCCCGCCTCAACAACGGCCTCACGGGCTGCCTGGCACCGGGAGTGTGCCGCCCGCCCTTCCCTTCCCACGGCGCCCGCTCCACGAGCGAGAGCTGCTCGTGAGGGAGGGCCCGGCCTCCCGCGCGCGGGCAGTAACTAGGCAAGCCGAGCGAGGCGGCTTCCTCCGCTCTCTCGCGAGATCGGGCGAGGTTTCCGGTGTTGTGACTGCGGGGCCGTAAACATGGCGGTGAGTCTCCGCGCCCGCTCGCTGAGGCACCTCCGCATTCGAGGTGAGGAGGAACCCCCGGAGGGGTGGGGGGCTCGGCGGGGGCGGTGGGTGGGTCGGTGCCCGGCTCCTGCCTCCCCCTCCCCGGTCTCAGCATCCCGCTCCCTCCGGCCGCCGGGCTCAGCCTCTTCTCTCCTCCTCCCATCAATGACCGAATCTCGTTTTCTTTTCTCCCCCTCTTCCCCACCGCCCAGGCCGGAACGACAGCGGCGAGGAAAACGTCCCCCTCGATCTCAGCCGAGGTAATGGAGCGGGAGGGGGGGGGAAAGCAGGGTGGGCGCCTCCCTCCATCCCGCCCGCCACAAACTCCACATTCTGGGGGGTGTTTTCAGAATGGGAGCGAATGGAGTCTGGGGCTCAGCGGGGAGAGGGGACTCCTTTCCTGACATCAGGGTGGGGGCCCCCCTGAGATAAGGGGGGGATATGTCTTCCTCCCAGCAGCCGGTCCCCAGCAGGAGGGAGCGGGGAGAATACTTGCTCCAGGATGCGAAGATTCCTCCCATGCCCAAGGCAATGCACATTTATTTAGGGTATTAAGCCCCATGGAGCTCAGGTGGGGGTGTTAGATTGGGAATGAAACCCCTTTCTGTCCTGTGGGTCTTCCTGGCAAGCATGGGCTGCGAGGGCTAAATTATTAGATCTTGTTTTCATTTAAGATAATAGTAATAAACAGGATGATAGGCTGCTAGCTGAAGCATGGTTGTGGAGCATCTTATGCAAGGTTGGACTTGAAGACTGTCAGGGTTCCTTCCACGATTCTCTGATTCTTCCTCCTTGCAATGGGACTTTCCTCTTTTTTAAAAATGTGTATTACGGGCTTAAGTGCTGCACTTCTCTTTCTAACTAGAGAGGGTGAGAGTGACTGTGAGAAAGCAGCTCCCGTTGTGTCCCTGTGCTTCTCGCTTTCACCCTCGTTTTTTATCACTTCGGCCAGGAGGAGGAGAGGTGTTCTGTTTCTGTTAGCAGAAATAATTTGACTTTGTGTTCAAATCGTGAGAGTGGAAAAGAGAATTTGAGGAAATAGTGAAAAGCAAGTAGTTGGCTTTGGAAAACCACCGGGCCCACCAGGCAAGCACTGGAATCCCGCCCTTAATATGTTATGGGAAGAAGAGAAATCTTAAGTCACAAGGGGAGATGGCGAAGTCTCACTCTGGTGAGCTGTTTCCTGACACATGGGGGAAGGGGAGAGGGGGAGCAGGAAAACAACAAGCAGCTGATGGATTATTGGCAGGTATGTTGCTCTCTCCACCCCCTAGACTTGTTTTGTACAGCTTGCTGTGCTGCAGGTTCATTATTTCCCGTCTGCTGGCTGCAGATGGGGCTGTTAGCAGCGTTTGAGCTTTTCAGAGCTTGGGCATTGATGTAGCCAGCAGTATGTAAATTCCAGTGGTCTTTCCAAATCCGGTTCTCTCCTACACTCTGCTTGCAAATTGATTCTGTGTTGTCAGTGATCTGCTTGGAAATAGTCCACCACTAGCCAGAGTTTGTAGATACTTAGGGCTGAACTCATGACTGCCTGTCCCTATAGGCAAGCTGACTTCTATCATACTTGGATATAGATCTTAAGACAAGGTGGCAGCTAGAATTCTTATCACAGTGAAATTTTTGAAAAACACTTTGGATGCTTTGTATATTTCCCATAGGTTTTGTTTTTTTACTTCAATTACGGGCATATAGAGAATAAAACTGTACAGAGGTATATTTAACTGTTAGTGCACTGTGTAAAGAGAAAACAATTACCAACAAACTTTTCATTGCTGCATTTTAACAAAAATATGTTAAAATATTAAGTTTATGTTTTTGATGAAACAGTGAGTAGATATATTCGAAAGGATTAAGAGTGCTGCATGTTATGCATTCCAGATAATTTGTACTGCAAAATAAAAACTTCGTAGTAATGACACCATATATAAGTAGACTGGGTATGGTACTTATAGAAGTATGTAATTGGTGCCTTTCCAGATGAAAACAAGGTAGCATTGAAATAACTGACAAAATTGTGTGTGGTAAACATCAGGCTGAAAGCACATTTTGAAATCTATAATGTTTCAGTGTAATATTCAAGGCCCACTGGAGGCCAGAAGTCCCCCAGTAGGAAGATACCATACTATTCATCTGATTCATTTGTTTTCTCTATCTGAATGTAACTAGAATAATGTGAGACTGGAGTACAGTACTGCTGTGGTAATATCTGAATTAGCACTACAGTGAATTGGAAAATAGGTGTTGAAGAATTGTAAGAGTTAAAATTCAGTGTTGAAATTCAAAAGAAGATTGTTTTTAAAAAGCTTGTTCTTACGTTGCAGTTTGGTGTTTGCCCAATAAGCTTATTTTAAAAACAACAACAACATTGTTTTGTGCTATGCTGGTTACTATGTGCCCATTTTCTACATTACTGGGAAAATGCATATTTACATATTTATTTATGAAGGTCCTAAGATGCAAGTAGCATCTAGGGCAGTCTTTGAGCTTTCACTTCAATATTGTTTTTGTGTTATTTTGGTTCGTTGCATTAGGAAATTCAGCCCATGGCATCGGCATGTTGTATTTGCCAGTTCCGGCGACACTAAGAATTCAATTTTTATCAATGGCTTTTTGTTTTGCTTGTGCCCATGCAGGCCTGCTTGCTCCCATATTATGTTAGATCCCATATTATGTTATGTACAGATAGGTACATCAATTTAATTATGTGATAGAGAATTGTAGAAATTCACAAATTTCTATTATCTTGTCTATTTCTTCAAACTCACTTGAGAAGATTAACCTGAATATGCATCCCCTGGGAAATAGATGAATTTATTAAGCATCCTGTGATGTCATACCATTTCTAAAGCCAACCTATGGCTAGTTAGCGTTAATGTTGTCCCTTGATATTTGAAAGTGAACTCTGCTACTACCTGTGTTTATACAGCCAGCTCAGTGATCCTTGGATAACAGCCCCTAAACTCATTCCCAACCTCTGATCTGTTTTTACTTTCAAGAGGTGAATGAGAGGTTGAAGTAAGCTAAAAATGATTCAGTGGCACGTGGCAGGATGAAAAGCTTTCGGCTTGTCTCTTCTCCTTAATCTCTGGATAAGTAATCCATGTAAACAATAGCCGACTTGTAGTTCTCGTAGATGGATAGAACTGAGTTACGACACTCACGCTGTGGAAATGGTGGTAGGGCACCCACAAGTGACTTGTGCGTTTTGCTATGCTTCTATGGTTTTGTTGCTCAAAAGGAGAAAAAACATCTTTATTCTGGAGTCATGGGTGGGCTCCCCTTTCAGTAACTTCTTTAGATGAGACTCCAAAACAGGAAAGAGGATGCGAGTTACTTGCACATTTTCTTTCTACTATTGCATGCCATGTGAAAAGTCATCTCCAATTTCCTGCATAACTTTGACGCACATAGCTGAATGCAAGTGTGGTCCAATGCAATGCAGTGTGGTCTCCCAAGTCCCCAAGCAATCAGTGTTTATTGAGCCCCTGGTCAGCTGACATGCCTGACTGGTGGGCTACAATTGTCTTGGTGGATCAAACGTTTTCCAGCCCTGGTTGAAAGAAACACAATAACTTTTGAATGACTGAGAAATAGTCAAGGGCAGGCATAGGCAAACTCAGCCCTCCATCTGTTTTGGGACTGCAACTCCCATCATCCCTAGCTAACAGGACCAGTGATCAGGGATGATGGGAATTGTAGTCCCAAAACAACTGGAGGGCTGAGTTTGCCTATGCCTGGTCAAGGGGAAAGGAGCTGAAAATGACAAGAGTGAAAGTTTGGGATAACCACCTCTGAATGTGTAAGCAAGCTCCAAACTGCCCATTTTTATTCAACATCCCAAAAGCTTAAACAGTTTTTAGAAGAATTGAGGATCCCTGCTCTTAAGCGCAAAACATCACAGTATAAATGGATTGTATCAATGCTGAAATAACATGTTTTTTAATTAGACAAACATACTGAACCAAAATACCTATTTGTATACAACAGATGATAAATAACATAGATGAACCTGGTAATATATATATATAATGAGATACCAAAGGTTTCAACACATTTCAACCTCAAAATGTCATTAGTGGGAAATTGTACAATTTAAAAATAAATCTCTACATGCAGGATATTATAGAACCCAAACATTTTGATTAGGTATGGATACTTGTTTCAAAAGTAGGAAATCTGTGGCCCTCGAGATGTTGTTGGACTCTAACTCTCATCAGCTCCAGCCCGCATGGCCAGCTGTTAGGGATGGTTACAGATATGGAGTGACACAGGTCCCCCACCATTAATTTAGTTTATTAAATCACATGTTATTGTATACTTTTAAATTTAACGTCTTGGATTGGTTTAGTTTGGTTATGGTTAACACTAGATCATATTTTTGTTTTGTTGAATTTATCAAGCAACATCCTTGATGTGAACATGGATGATTGATACTGAAATATGTAGGATTTCACAATTTGTGTATATAAATTTGATCACTTGGATATCTGTCACATCAGGTACCTTGTCCAAATATAATCATGAATATATATACAGTCTCGCATCATAGGTTAAAAATATGTAAAATCCTGTTTATTGCAGTGTGTGTTGAATGCCTCTTAAGCCTCTCAAAGTTCAGAACTTTCATGATGGATTACATTAAGAGTATGCTATGTTGCAAATGAACTATTGTTTTATGTTGTGAAATATCCTGTTAGAAACAAAAATCCAAAGGAACTGTGGGAAAGATTCTACAAATGTGGTTGCCTTCAGAGTCCTGGAATCTCTTTCTGACAACAGATTGAAATATCTCTCTTCCTTCCAGTTCTTTGTGCCTCACAGAAAACTGGGGTGAATAGGGATGTGTATCTTACTTTATGTGGTCTGCTACCGTCTGGAATCCTGTGTGCATGTTGGGAAACCTGGAGAATGTTCTCAGCAAGCCAGAATATGTGAACTGATGACTATAGTGATAAAATTTTGAATATCTGAGACTATTTCAAGTATTATTGATCTCAGTTTCATATTTAGTAGCATTGGTTCTCAAATTGTTTATTAGAGAAGACATATTATGATATGGAAGACTTCCCCTTTTCCATGCCTTTCTACTCCTTTCACCTGAAGCAAACAACATGTCAGCTTTGCTGGGTCTTTGGCCAGCGTTTGAAAATAAGTGTTTTCCATTATACAGTTCACATTTTTTAACACTGATATGAAGATTACTCTTGCTGAGGGCAGAGAATTTAAATGCTACCAAAGAAAATAATCTTCATATTTGTAGACAGTCCTTCCTACGAAAAGCTCATTGGGGTAGTCTAATTTCATTAGTACAACAGTCCTCTGAGGTAAGCTAGGTGGGTAAAAGGTAATATTATGTCTGATTTGGTATTTGAACCAAAGTTCTATTCCAAGTTGACTACTCTGCTCACAGAGTAATCTTTGAATATAATGTGTTACAATGGAATACATGCACATAAACGAGTTGGATGTGGACCAGTAAATTGAAGCTGAATCCTGAGATGTGTTCTGAGTTATTGAGTCTAGGAAGCGGGAAGACTTCATGTTCTGGCTGTGTTTGCACTGGGAGGAAGGAGCAGGTCTGTAGTTTTAGGGTTTTCTTGGATCCAAAGCTGTCACTGGAGGCTCAAGGAGGCTTGGTAGCTAGCAGTGTTTATTTCCAGCTTTGGCTGGTTCGCCAGCTGTGGCTTATTTTGGAGAGAGATGCCTTGGCCATTGTATTCCACATTCTGGTAACTTCCAGACTGGTCTATTGCCATGTGATCTACATGGGACTACCCTTGAGGACTATTGGGAAACTTCAACTGGTCCCAAGTGCAGCAGCCAGATTACTGGCCAGGGTTCTATTTTGAATTCATATAACCTCCGTTTTAAAATACCTGCACTGGTTGCCAGCTTGTTTCTGGGCCCAATTCATGATGCTCACATTAGTGTTTAAAGACCTAAGTTATTTAGACTCAAGTATCTGAAAGACTGCCCAGAAGAGCTGAAAATGGTTCTCCACTTCTGGCTTAGAACTTTTGGCTCCATTGCATGCCATAAATATCTACGCCATTGGGTTACAACACTTAATAGCTAAGCTGGTAAGTGTGCAATTGCCTATTTTGTGAGGGAGTTGTCTGTTGGAAGAGGCAACACCAATTCTCTTCACGTGCCCTCAGTATACACACCAGAGTAGTTTGAGAAGTTTGAAAGGAGTCTACACCCCTCTAACAATTGGTTAGCATCTCCACTGCTCTTTCTCTTAGATGTTAGAAGCTTGAATTCCATACTTAACCGAATTAATGATGTAAAATAATAAATGGAATATAGACTTATTATTTATCAGTATCCATTGTTAATTACTAGATACGTGCTACTTATATGAATTTCAGCATAAATGTCCAAGTAATTTTGAATTCCACTAGAAGGAGTTTGCAGATAAGTGCTACTCTGACTCCCAACTTGATTTTATAAAGCTTCACCTTTCTTAAAATTTAGGCATATTTAACTTGAAAGCTTATTTAAAATTCAAATGGTGATTTCCCTAATTGATACAGTAGTGGTTTTGCTCCATACCAAATATTTTTCAAGCTCCTTTTCTCACCACCTCTCAACCTTTAATGCTTTCACACAGTATAAATGGCCTGTTCTGGTTTTCTTCTAAGTTGTGTAACTTTTGTGGCATAGCAGGACTGATAATGAGATTAAGCAGGCATACAAATATTTAATACTGTGTAACTCTTACTTTGGTTGTTGTTGAAAGATTCTGGATTTTCAGACCTTGTGAAGAAAATTTTGAAAATAAAACTGCATTCTTTTTTGCGTAACTTTTGAAATACAAGCAGTGCGTGTTTCAGGATTCTTTGCAATCTGAAATAGATTATATATTTTAAAAAGCAGGATGTGAATTACAAGGAAGAGTGAATAGCAGTTTACAGCTGGAGACCATGATTAATCACAGGAGTATTTGCTCACATAAGTGTGTTGAAGTGGCCAGTCCTGGCTCAGCACAAACTGAAACCAGGAATCCAGGTCCATTTCATAACAGGCTTTAAAAATCAAATATACGCATTCTTTCTCTTCTATATACATCCTCATATACATATGGATACATATTACACACATGCACTGTACCACTGTCTGAAAGATATTGGAATACAAGAAAGTAGCAACCTATAATTGGAATTCATTAATGAAAGAAGAAGAGGGCATTGTGGGATGGAAAAATAGTGATAGTATTTGATAGGAATCTGGGGAGGTTGTACTACTGCAGCAAAATAAAAAAGTTTATTGTGCATGTGAAAGCTCTTTTATTAAATACAAATATATATATTTGTATTTAATATCTTTAATACAGTGGTGCCCCGCAAGACGAATGCCTCGCAAGACGAAAAACTCGCTAGACGAAAGGGTTTTCCATTTTTTGAGTCGTTCCGCAAGACGCATTTCCCTATGGGCTTGCTTCGCAAGACGAAACGTCTTGCGAGTTCTTGCGAGTTTGTTTCCTTTTTCTTTAAGCCGCTAAGCCGTTAATAGCCGCTAATAGCCGTGCTTCGCAAGACGAAAAAACCGCAAGACGAAGAGACTCTCGGAACGGATTAATTTCGTCTTGTGAGGCACCACTGTAGTTCTAGTTTATGAGAAAATGGCTTCAAGAACCACAAGTTCTGCACTTGTTGCAAAATGTAACTGAAAAGCATGTATAGTGCCTTGGTTATTTAAAAAAATGTGTATAGAGGATATCATTGGAACAGCCTTTCTTAGCCTTGAGTCCCCAGATGTTGTTGGACTACAACTCCCATCTTCCCTGACCTAAGGGTTAAGAGCTCCACTCTCCATCCTGCTGCAGTCATGAGGAGGAGATTAGTAGTTTTCACTTCCTTTTTCAATTAACTGCTGTTTAGGACATAAAACTGTGGTTAGTCTACTCTTCACTGTGGTTTAGGGCAGTGGTAGGGAACCTTCTGAGTTTTTTGGACTCTAAGTCCCATCAGCTAATGATTATCACTAAAGAGGTGATAAATAGCCATATTACCTGTCTATCAGCTCTCAGATGCCACAACAGTTCTCATTGACAAGTGGTTCTCCAGGGTCTTCTGATAAAGTCTTTCCTTTTGCTTGACCCTTTTGACGGGAAATAACAGTCTTGGGGCCTTCTGCATGGAAAGTATGTGCTCTGCCCTTTCTAGTTATGAGTCTTTGATAATGAAAGGGAGCAACGTACAAGCATTAACATTCTTGTATGAATTTGATTTGCCCTATCTCTTCAGGTTAGAATCGGAAAATAATGCTTTGCTTTTACATGCAAGCTGGAATTTGTCTTTCTCCAGGTTGTGCTCCTGGTGGGATATGAATTTGCTGTGATTGGTTTTTCTTTTTTTTCTTTTTCTGCAAAAGCTGTGGGGGCAGACTTCATTACTGAGGTATGCCAGACCTCACCATAACATGCCACATACACTTTGAAAGATTTTCCCCCAATGATTTTTGTGTCAAGAGTGTTTATTACTTACCCAGAGAAGGAGAACATCCTTAGTTTTTGCTTGACATTCTCAATTGACCAAGTTAGAATGTTTTTTTCTTTTCTTTTCAGGAACCTTATTGAGGAAGTATCTTGTTTTTTTAATTCATGAAATCAAACATTCTAGAGAAATCTTTGAGACACTATGATTTGGTACTTGAGATGCAATACGAAATCACTTGTACAGCTCAAAGCTTTGAAAGCTAGGGTCGCTGTCACCAATATTATGCTGAAAGCGCAAAACAAAGGAATAGGAATCAGTCAAATTACATTTTCAGCGATGCTAAATTATAGGGAAGCAGTTTGTTCCCATCTATTATATGCCCTTGAAATTAAAGGTTATAACAAACTGTTAGTGGTACTTATATGCCAACACTATTCTCTTTAATCTTGTGCTTGTGGTTTGTACTACTTGATCTTGAAACTGGATGAAATGTTCTCTAGAATGGTCTCCCCTGGTAATCCTGAGCTTCTCAAATGGGAAATGTGACAATCTATTCCTTCTCCACAGTATGATTTCCTCCACCACCGTATTCTGGTATGCTGTTGAAGAAATTTCAACTACAGTAGTGGCATTTGATGGCCTTTGCTACATCACTTCCTGAAGGTGATATCCAACTTTAGGCATATTCATAGCAGAACTATTAAAACCAGTTGACACAAGTCTGTTGATTTTAATGAGTCTGATCTGAGTATGACAAATGTTGGATATCACCCTGAATACTTCCACTAAAATACATTCTGCTTCATAGTAATTGATTCCAGGGGTAGTTGAAAAGAAAAGAAAAGTAGCTAGTTATTTAGTTTTTAAGTTTGTTTAGAATTTTAATTTGACCCCTTTCAAGCAAAAAACACTGTGTAAACTCATAAAACAAAGAATAGCTCCCCTAAAGTTGGATAAACTCCCTAATTCAAAACTGGCGTCAAACATTCACAAAGGTGCATGTTGAGATATGTTAGAAAATAGACCCCAGCATTCTTCACTAAGTAGGTATAATCTTCAGTAGAACCTTAGTTAGGCTGCTTCATGAAATTTTCAACCAAATTGAAAAAAGCTTCATTTGACACTTTCAATAGTGAAGCCTGTTTAACATATTGGGTAGTGCATGTTTGTTACTTACAATTACATTGCTAGTAAATGCCCAAATAGTGGTTCTTCCAGCTTTGGAGAGCTCTAGCTGGAATTCATCCTTTGGGTATGATCCAGACATTTTTCTGCAAATTAGGTTTGGGTACGTCCTCATTTGGGCCAGGAAACAGAGACCTGTATTTTTTGAGAGAGAAATCTCAATTAGCCTTCGCTTCCCTCCTGGTCTTTAAACTATTAGCCTGCTGCTATCAAAATGTTTACAACTTCATTAGAAGCAGAAATTGATTAAAGAAAGACAGGATAGGTAGTATGGTTGTTGCTTCTCTAATCTGTGCCTACCGATACTTTTTTTCTCTTGTAGACCCTTCTGATAACCTGAGAGAGATTCTCCAAAATGTGGCCAAATTGCAAGGGGTTTCAAATATGAGAAAGCTAGGCCACTTGAATAACTTTACTAAGGTAAGAATTTTTATAATAGTTAAAGCATTTATGGTTTGTTTGTTTTTTATTTTTTTGCATCATGCCAAATCAATTGATTCAGTTGGCAAATAAAAAATAATGATGGTATGGAAAACTTGTGAGTGAATGATGTAGCGATGGGATGATAAAAGTGATGAAGGAAAAGTGATTAAAAATCACTGTATCCGTTCATTAATGTTTTGCTGAATATTACTTACTTGGTCATCACAAGCTTTGTGCTACAGGACTTGAGCCAGAACTTTAATGCAGTGGGTGGTATTCAGCTACATTTTACTCTGACAAGGTCCATTGAAAGTCATGGAACTATCTTTTTAAATTTCAGTAGGTCTGCTCTGATTATAATTTAGTTGAGTAGAATTCTATGCAGTGAAAGAAATGGTTGAAGTATCTTTGACAGAAAAAATATTCGTCATTTTGGATATAGATGGAAATAGGGATATGTAAGACGTGAAACAAAAGAACCAAAAGAAAAGTGTATTGAAAGATATGTACAGTACATCAGAAGTACATGATCTTAGGAATACTATTTTGGATAGAGAGATTGTATAAATGAACTGCCATTGAGATCTATTTATTTTATTTCATTGGTTGTAAACTGCTTTGAGGTTTGTTTTGTTTTTTTACAAAGAGAATAAAACAATAAAAGTAGCAGTAAAAACAATTTTTTAAAACATTCAGAAAATAAAATCAGCAATAAGCTAAAAAAAGATTAAAACATACATAAACATTCTTCTACATGTCTGGGTAGGTTTGCCTAAGCAAAAATGTTTTTAGCAGGTGCTGAAAACTGTACAGTGAAGGTACCTGCCTGATGTCCGTAGCCAGGGCGTTTCAGAGTGTAGATGCTGCCACACTGAAAGATCAATTTCTTAAAAATGCAGAATGAGTATTACGTGGCACATGTAACAGTGGCAGAATGGGGCCTTTAGCATGGTGGCATCTACCCTTTGGAACTCCCTCCCATTACATATCAAATGAGTACGGTCTCTATTGCCTGTTTGAAACCTGTCAAAGTCCTTTCTTTTCCATCAAGCCTTTTAAGTGGACATTTTAATTCTAGTCTGCACCTGCACTGAATCTGAGTTGCGCATATATATATATAGTCGGGACACGGGTGGACTTGCCTATCAGAAGGTTGGCAGTTTGGATCCCCACGCAAGGCGAGCTCCCGTTGCTCGGTCCCTGCTCCTGCCAACCTAGCAGTTCGAAAGCATGGCAAAGTGCAAGTAGATAAATAGGTACCGCTCTGGCGGGAGGGTAAACAGCGTTTCCGTGCGCTGCTCTGGTTCGCCAGAAGCGGCTTAGTCATGCTGGCCATATGACCTGGAAGCTGTACGCCGGCTCCCTCAGCCAATAAAACGAGATGAGCACCGCAACCCCAGAGTCTGTCATGACTGGACCTAATGGTCAGGGGTCCCTTTACCTTTATATATATATAGTCATACCTTGGATGTCAAACACCTTGGCTCCCGAACGATCAAAACCTGGAAGTGAGTGTTCCGGTCTGTGAACTATTTTTGGAAGCCGAATGTCCGACAGGGCTTCCGCAGCTTCCGATTGGCTTCAGGAGCGTCCTGCAGCCAATCAGAAGCCACGCTTTGGTTTCCGGATGTTTTGGAAGTCAAATGGACTTCCAGAACGGATTCCATTTGATTTCCAAGGTACGACTGTATTGTATATGCCTTGTTAATGCTTTGAGATGTTTCATGGGAAGAGATTCATAAATGGAATTAAATAAAGTAATGTGCACCACATTAAGACCAGAAATATTGAAGTTTGGCACTCAAGTGTAATTGTGCTAGCTGCATTTTTGGAAATTACGTTTAAATAGTGGAAAGGGAAAAGTTTGAAGTTTTATCCTTTTAAACAGTAATCTCCTCAGACACTTTCACTGAATGCAGGCCACTAGCTTTTTAGAGTTTCTGCGTGATCCAGTGGTTTGAGATATATCCCAATAACTAAATCTTCTATTTAGGGGAAAGACAGAGGGAACTAGTGATATGATCGCTAAACCATGTGAGTGTCACACACTTGTGTCTCTCACTTGTCATGATTTCACTGGATCAAGTAACAAGCATAGCTGACTGCTGACCAACAGAACTTAAATAATATTTGTAGAATTGCTTTAGCTCATTTTGACAACATATCTAGCAAGCAGTTGAGTACCTAAAAAAAAAAAGTGTTTGGTCTCTTTCTCCCAAAATGGTCATGGGATGGGGGGAAATGGACGTAATGGCAGAAAGCTGGAGGTCATTTCCATGCTGTGAAGTGTCATGAGGAGATGGGGAGCTTCCCTAATTCTTCATGCAGTTTGGGGGAGTCATTTCGTGTACTTTTGTGCTGGTGGGGATACATTAATTGCTTATTGTTTATTGTATTCTATTTATGGATGGCCAGAGGCAGTTTACATTAAAAGCAGAGTTGTTGTTTTTTTTCAAAAATGCCCGTTGTCAGAAAAAGGAAACCACAACAAGCCACCTTCATCAGGAAGGTTTTTTCAGTTTCTTTGTGGCTGTGTTTTAGTTTTTTATTTGCAAAAAAATAATAATAATCTGTGCACATGCTGAGTCCTTTAAGAAACCTGTTACCTTGTCTGTGGGTGGCCCTGTTTTGCTATTCTGCTGTTTGGCAGGGGATCAGGAACTGTGCAGTTGGAAGGAATGATAACTTTTCTCCTTTTTCTTTTCACTGTGGCAGTAGCAGTAACGCCTGAGAGTTCTAACTGTAAGCCACTGTTTATGTGATGACTCAGCCCTGTAGCTTGAACCATGGCTAGGTGCTATCCGGGAAGTTTTCACACATAAAATGTGTAGCTTCAATATTAGCATGGCGACATGGTAGAGTGTTGGACTAGCACTTGGGAGAGCAGGGTTCGAATCCCCACTCAGCCCTGAAGCTCACTAGGTGACCTTGGGCCAGTCACCATCTCTTAGCCTCATCTACCTCCTAGGGTTGTTGTGAGGATGAAATGGGGAGAGGGAGAACCATATGTACTACCTTGAGCTCACTGGAATATAAAGGTGGTATATAAATGTAATAAAATAGAAAAAAATATATTTCTACACTAAAGGTTATATTTTTGGTATTTCCAACAACTACTCAGAATGTGTTGTACATGCTAAGTATTGTCAATAAGTAACAGTGAGTTCACCATATAGGCTTTTAAGATACCGTACTGCCTTTTTGCTTATTTACTGGTTGTAAACTATAGAGATGGGGAACCTCGTGCCTGGGGGTGGAAGGTGGCATTCCTGGCCTCCATTTGACCCATGGGATTCTCCTCAGTCTTGTGCTCCCATCCCCTTGCCAGATGCCTCACCTTCAAGGAGTGCATTTGCCTGGCTGGAATGTGTCATTGAACTGTGATAATGCCTCTGGCTTGCCTTGATGGAGGGGTGTCTGTAGAAACCTCTGGCTTTTATGTGGCAGGAATGTAGATTACCAAAGAAAGGTAAGACTTAACATCTGTTATTCTGCCCACTTTTTTTCTTTTGACCCGCCCACCATTGGCACTACAGTGGTACTTCTGGTCGCGAATGGGATCCGTTCCGGAGCCCCATTTGCAACATGAGCAGAACGCAACCCACGTCTGCGCAGGTTGCAATTGGTCGCTTCTGCGCATGTGCGTGATGTCATTTTGAGCGTCTACGCATGTGAGAGCGGTGAAACCCAGAAACCCTTTCTGGTACTTCCGGGTCGCCGCGGGACGCAACCTGAAAAGACGTAACCTGAACCAAACGTAACGAGGTATGACTGTATAGAATTCAACCCTCAGGCTGAAGAAGTACCGACCCCCCCCCCCCCCCCGCTGTTGTAAACCAACATCTCACTCCCCTTTTCCAAGTGTTTATAGTAGGATGACACATTCCGGCCCCCCATGAAAAAAATGATTTTTTAAAAAGTACTTTCAAGTTAAAGTTTGTTCAGTAGTGTATAACCGAACCCGTTTTTTTGCAGAGCTGAAAAAATGCTTTTCACTTGGATTTCACTTTTCTAGTTTCTATCCCTTTAAGACATTCTGCCACTTACCTGGAAACCTTTCTGTTAGAAGGTGACCTGCTTATCTGTGTTTTTAACAGCTGAATCATATAAAGCAATCTTTATCCCCTTGCCAGGCCTGTATTTATAGATGTATAAACTAACGTGGCAGCAGTGAATTTGCACTTTTGCAAATGTCGAGAGTAGCAGAGATTGGCTCCATGCACTTCAGAATGAATACTGCTGCAGAAATAGATTGGACAGAGATGTGAAACTATTGTCATGAAACTCATTTCAGTCATTTGAATTATCAGCATATTTTATTTAAAGTACTTATTTTTTTTAAAAAGGTTTGCTAAAATGCAATAAGATCATAACACATCTTTTCTTTCGGCAATACCTTGAAAATAATTGCTTAGTTTGGTTATAAGACCAGAAAGCCAGGGAGAGATTTGAGTAGCTGTGGAGAAAAGTGTGTTTGACTTGTTACAGAACTCCTTACCCTGCCTGTTGACATAGGCATTTTATACTTGCAGCTTCTTTGTAATGCTGGTCATACTGAAGAAAAGCTAGGTTTTACTTATGAAAACATCATCATATGGTAAGTCTCTCTCTTTATTTTGGAGCATTATTTGGACCATTCATGAATGATAAGCTAGTGTTTCTGTGACTGTTGTTTCAGTTGTAAGCTAAACAGCATTTTGGATGGCAATGTGTTGAGGTCATGATACAGATTGTTCTGCGTATGTGGCAGGTGCTCTATCCATTACAGAGTTCTTGATTCAGATAATGCATTAGAAGCTGAAGACCAGAAACATCTCAGCCATGATCAGTTCTTGTGTTGGAGGAAGGAGGTACTAGTCTAGGCTCTGTGCCCCTTTGACATTTTTTGTCCCTTAACTTTTACCCAGTAGCATTTTTTCTGCCCAGTCTTTGGTCATAGGGATGACCTGTAGAAATGCTTAGTGTGAGCCTGGTGGCTTGTTTCAGATGGCACAGACAGGCTGCTGTTTGCCAGGTTTTCTACTCAGTCCATCGTGTAGAAAATCTGTGAACAATTTATCAACTGAAAAGTCTGATTTTACAAAGTAAGCTAAAGACCTGCAGGATTTCTTAAAACTATTGCATGTGAAATTGTGTTAAAGTAATATAATAAGCACAAATATGAAAGGTGTTTTTTTTGTGGTGGTAGGGGAAAATGTCTGTAAAAATCTCTTATCCAGTGAAGAATCTTGATATTCACAATACTATGTTGTTCTCTGCTAAGTTTGTGTATCAGAAAGTATTATTTATTTTACCATTAGCATGGGCAGCAGTCCACATCTCATTTACTGTTAAATTCAGCAGAACTTGTACAGAATAAGTCTATAACCCTGCTCCATTAAAATCAGTGAGAATTTAGCACTTGTTGTCTATAGCAGTTAAGCACTTGTTGTCTGTACAGTTGCACCTTGGTTCTCGAACACCTTGTGACTCAAATGTTTTGGCTCCCAAACACCGCAAACCCGGAAGTAAGTGTTCTAGTTTGCGAACTTTTTTGGGAAGCCGAACATCCGACGCAGCTTCCGATTGAGTGCAGGAAGCTCCTGCAGCCAAATGGAAGCTGCACCTTGGTTTTTGAACGTTTTTGGAAGTCAAATGGACTTCCGGAATGGATGCCATTCAAGAACCAAGGTATGACTGTATTGTAAACAAATATAGTGATATATTACTTTCATGGGCAATGAAACCCCCCAAAAGGTTATGGATCACTTCTGTGTGATCAGCTTCCTGTTACCAATCACTACTTCAAATCTGAGTGCAGATTTTTTTTTTATTTTTTTGGGTTGTAGACATTCACTTGAAGTCTAATCTGATATTTAAAACAAGATGTGACATTGCAGCAGCTTGTGATAATTCTTGCGATAATTCCTAATATTTTAGCAATTCTTTAATTTCTACTTTAGGTAGGGAAGTGGCTAGTGGACTGGATCCAGTTCCTACCCTACCTTTAATTATAATTTTTTAAAAGTGCAAATGAATCCAGACAAGAGAAACTAGCACCTCCTATCTAATTATTGGTATTAAAGAATCATTACATTAACAGATTGCTAGAGCTATTATCTGTCTTTGAACTTCTCAACTAAAAATCCAGTTAATGTGTGCCAGCCGTAGAAAGAATGGATTTCACAGTCAAAGGGCCTGAGGCAGATAATTCCCTGAAATAGCTACAGAGGTAAGCAAAAACAGTCTGTCACTAAGCAGTGCGATCAGAATAGCTTCCCTAACCCTAAAAGTGGTGAACAATTGGCCTCTGTTTGTGCAAGCGGGACCATCCAGCTGAGCTTTTGAGACGCATAAGCTCTTTAGCACTGATTTTTTTTTTAACCAAAGAAGCTTCAGAACAGGAAGTATTGGGCCACACACATTCCACACACCCTAGCCCAAATAATGACATCACAGGCTGAGATGGTAAGTATTGTTTAATATTCTCTGCACTGTTGATTGGATTTTACAAATTGGCATTGGTGGGAGCGTCCAACCAGCTTTGAAGTGGAAACCAAATTACTTATTACTAAGCTGCTGAAAACCAGGTGTTCACAATTGTGTAACTATTTAAAATGAGGACATGCTCTTCATGGAAACAGGCAGTCTTAACTTACTTTCATTATTAATATTGTTTTCAGCAAGGAGAAGAAAATGCGAAGCAGTGGAGAGTTTTGCTTACATCTTGGGTGTTAAAATGTCTAACATGAATAGCTGTGTACTTAAGCATGGATCTGTTCCTGTCTCGCAGAAAGGAAGAGCGAGTCTGTTTTTAGCAAAAGGGACACACTTAATTATTTAAAGCCTGAGTGATTTCCTTGTCATTTGTATCATAGTTTGCGATTAGCTTTACTGAATGAAGCAAAAGAGGTGCGAGCGGCAGGGCTGCGAGCCCTTCGATACCTTATCCGAGACTCCAGTATTCTGCAGAAGGTGTTAAAATTAAAAGTGGATTACTTGATAGCCAGGTAATAATAAATTGATACTGTATTTGAAATCTTTTTCCTGATTTGGATAATGCATCACTGTTTATATGACTCTTTGAACCTTTTCGTTTGAGCAAATCGCAACCTGTTACATTTAATAGATGCCTGCTTTGAGTGACGTGAAACAATCAGGGTTGTATGCAGCAGCGTCACTCAGCTGATGGTCAGGCTTTCTTTGATGGAATGAGGAGAGAAGAAATATTTAGCAGTTCCCCGCCCACCCTGCAGCCTCCTGTGTCTCCCTGCATTGCTCTGGAGGGCTCCCCAGCTCTCTGGAACAGTTTTAGGAGAGGCAAGGGGCTTTAAGGTGAAGTCGGAACCACTGAAAATTATTTTACTCCCTGTTCATTGATAGACGCCTCACCACTAGCTGAGTGACACTGCTGGCTACAATCCCAAATCCACTACTTTTCAAAATAAACTTATTTTGAAATTGGAAATGGGAGAAACACGACTAATCTCTAAATATTGATTGCATAGCCTGGTTTTATTGAAAGATTGCCTCAAATATATTGTTACATTGGGTTTAGCTGGTTGCACAGAATTGTAAATTGAGGGCCTTTGATGCAAGTGGCTGTCTGGACTCCTTTGCACCAGTCATCTCAAGAACTTGAACCTTGCCGCTATACGTTCAAAAGTAAAAAATGAATATATCTGGGAAATGCACGACTGTTTTAAAATGCGCTACATTCTGCCACCTTGAACCCTAATTAAAGTATTTCCTCCTCATTTTTATGCTTTTAGGTGCATTGACATACAGCAGAGTAATGAAGTAGAAAGGACACAAGCACTTCGTTTAGTCAGGAAGGTATGTTCGGAAACAATAGCATAGTGCAATTTTCCGCTGAATAACCCAAAACCAAATTCTGTATGACTGTGGAAGAAGCCGTGTTGGAAACACCGTGTTGCTATAATGTGTGAAATGGCTGGAGTATTGCAACTGTGTTGCAAATAGAGTTGTAAAAATAGAAACAGAGTGTACAAATGCAACAGCTAGTTAGTATCCATAAGTTCCATGAAAACTGCCTGTGAGTAGGGCAGTTTACTGTCTCTTCTTCCCACTGTTGTATAGCCCTGTATGCTCTCCCATACAGGTAAGGAGATCAGGAGCCCTCAGACCAAGGACAAAATAATGTCATTCAAAACTACTTCTGTCAATTCGATTTCCTTTTCACACTCAATCACTGCAGTTATGTATAGAGCTACTAACAGGTATTTTATCAGTAGGTATTAAGTTGTAAATTTGAAGCAAAAAGCCAAATCACTTAAAAGTATTTCATAAGATGGGATTTTATTTCTGCTATAGTTTTAGCATGCCAAATGATAAACAAACTACAGTGGTACCTCGGGTTACATATGCTTCAGGTTACAGACTCTGCTAACCCAGAAATAGTACCTCGGGTTAAGAACTTTGCTTCAGGATGAGAACAGAAATCGTGCTCTGGCAGCGAGGAGGCAGTGGGAGGCCCCATTAGCTAAAGTGGTGCTTCAGGTTAAGTACAGTTTCAGGTTAAGAACGGACCTCTGGAACGAATTAAGTACTTAACCCGAGGTACCACTGTAATAAGCAATCTTCCTTTTTCAGTTGTGTAATACAGACAAAATTTGTTAGTAAAAGAATCCAAGCCACAATAAGTGGTCACTTGTTTGTACTTTCCTGCCACCCATGATGAGCATAAGTTTGTTCATGCCTTCAAGTGCAAGAACATAAGTTCTTGTATTTGTGAAAGAGATTGCTACTCTGTTTCTAGTGTAATGGTACAAAATACAAATTAATTAAATGAAAATTTATCTTGTTGGTGGGAGAAGGGTGTAGCTTTTCCTTTGAAGTCTAGTCTAAATGAGCTTCCTGTTACATAGTATCAGATGATGATTTACAAAGCAAGAGTTTCTCAAAAAAATCTTTCATTGTTGAAAGACAACTTGCAAATAAAGCAGATTCCTCCCTCCCATTCTGTCATAAGTAGGAAAGGAAGAAATTTGATGAGTTCCTATAACTAGACTATATAAAGGGCCACATAGTCCATTGCATCATAGTAGCTGTTCCAACATTTCCCGCAGTAACTGGAAATTTCTTTGCCAGAGCAAAGCCAATATACATGTCTTACACCAGGCATAGGCAAACTCAGCCTTCCAGGTGTTTTGAGACTACAATTCCCATCATCCCTGATGACTGGTCCTATTAGCTATGGATGATGGGAGTTGTAGTCCCAAAACATCTGGAGGGCTGAGTTTGTCTATGCCTGTCTTATACAAACCTTTCCCTAATTTAGAAAGGTGGGAAAACAGTGATTGGAGTATACAGTGCTCAGCCTCTTCCTCTTTTTGGACAGTTGTTTTTATGATGTATATTTTACTCCACTTTCCTCCAAAAGGTTCTTGTTTTCCTTTGGGGGACTTCCCACATTACTTTTGAAAAGTATTGGAGGTCCCTGAGACCTAAGCCGATGTTGTATTTGAGGGGGAGAAACACTGTGTGGTGGTGAATCATGCCTGCCTTGACTTGCTTCTGGTGTGCTTGCTGATGCCTGACATTCATGCACTTGAATGGGGTTGCATAGGAGGCCACACATGTAGGTCTAATGGGTGCAATCTTGATATTCTGTTTTCGTAGTGTATAAATTACATGGATTAGGCTTTTGCACATTGTGCTGCATGTGTGTAGGCCCTGATGCAAACATGACATCCATTGTGCAGATGTCATGCGGAGGCAGTATGGATCTGCATGATCCTTCTCAAACACAATGGCTGCATAGAGGTATGGAGACCCTGGGATTATTTGCTTTTCTAAGAAAATGCATGAGACCTGTGCTGCTGTTTCGTTTCCAGCTTTGCCCCACAATTTATCTGCTGCGAACACTTCAGCACAGAAGAGGCCATTCTTGGTGAACACCATTTAGCCTTGCATTAGAAACAGCTTTTTGAGTGCATATCTGCTGCTCCCTAGTTAAATTGAACCAGAAGGCCCTGAAGAGAAATCTGCATGGTTGTGCAGTAGATCCTTTATCTTGGTATGGCTTCTAGCCTTTTACAGTACATAGCCATCTTTATGTATTTGTCGAAGAAACTGTTGAAAAAGAATGTGGAAGCAAAAGAGCAGAATACTGAGCCCAAACGTGCAGGTGGGAGAAAGAGTTTGATACAAACATATAGAAGAACCATTAGTGTATTTCTGTAATCCTACTGTAATGTTGCCGTGACAAACCCATCTCTCCATTTCTTTTTGCATTTCTTTGCAGATGATCACTGTGAATGCTTCATTATTTCCTAGTTCGGTTACCAATTCCTTGATAGCTGTTGGAAATGACGGCCTTCAGGAGAGGGACAGGATGGTTCGAGCATGCATTGCAATTATCTGTGAACTAGGTAAGAAAGTTGAAAAGTATTATAGTTTTTTGCATATTTTAATTATGGACATTTATATGTCAGTGTTTTGGGGACGCGGGTGGCGCTGTGGGTAAAACCTCAGTGCCTAGGACTTGCCGATCGTATGGTCGGCGGTTCGAATCCCCTGCGGCGGGGTGAGCTCCCGTCTTTTGGTCCCAGCTCCTGCCCACCTAGCAGTTCGAAAGCACTCTTAAGTGCAAGTAGATAAATAGGTACCGCTTTATAGCGGGAATGTAAACGGCGTTTCCGTGTGCTGCGCTGGTGCTGGCTCGCCAGCTGCAGCTTCGTCACGCTGGCCACGTGACCCGGAAGTGTCTTTGGACGGCGCCGGCTCACGGCCTCTAGAGCAAGATGAGCACGCAACCCTAGAGTCAGACATGACTGGCCCGCACGGGCAGGGGTACCTTTACCTTTTATATGTCAGTGTTTTAATGGGTTTGTTTTATTGTGTGCTTTAAGTATGGTGTATTTTTAATGATTTTGAATTTTAATAATGTACAATTGGTTTCTGTCTTTTATAAATGGATTAGAAGCCTATTTTGGCATTAATTGGTAAATAAGTAAATAATGAATTTTTTTCCTGAGCATCCAAGAAAAGGAATTTACAATATATTTTGACTTTAAACAAAAAAGGTTTTAAGCTGAAATCTTAACATTTTCTTGATATGAAGCTTAACATAAACATAGAAGTAAGATTAGATGAGAAATACGGTTAATTGCTTCAGTTAATATCACTTTCTTCTTTCAGCAATTCAGAATCCAGAAGTAGTTGCACTTCGAGGTGGTCTAAGTACCATTTTGAAAAATGTGATTGACTGCCAGTTAAGCCGTATAAATGAAGCTCTTATAACGACCGTCTTGCATCTTCTCAATCATCCAAAGACTCGACAGTATGTGCGTGCAGATGTAGAATTAGAGGTAGGAACTTTCTTTTTCTTATACAGTCTTAGTGTATCAACACTTGGGTTGCATTCCAAACCCCACTTAACTAGGATTAAGCCCCACTGAATTCAGTAGGACTTACTGAACAGACATGCTTTGGGTTATTGCCTCAATCCGGTGATCTGTATTATCCATATTTTCTTTTTAAACACACCCTTAAAAATAAGCCCTCGATTGGCAGTACTTTCTGCCAGGTCTGTCAACAGGTAAAAGTTGCAAACATGAAAAAAGATGCTGCATATATTCTATTTCAAAAGGTAAGGAATAATAGGTCGTTCTAATTGGATGTCTTCACTTTACTCTGCTTCATAGATAATTTTGCTGGATGTATCTTTGTTAAGGTCAGAAGCAAATTCTATTTTCTATATCACTTAAGAAAGAACCACTTACGTTGGAATAGATAGTATTTTTTCAACATTTAAACGGTGGATAATAATAAAGATTGTATGGTGATAATGGGAATGACTCCAAACTTTTGTTTCCTTACTGCAGCGGATATTAGCGCCCTACACAGACTTTCACTACAGGCACAATCCAGATACTGCAGAAGGACAGCAGAAGTAAGTACAGTCTCCATTAGCTGCTACTTGATAACACTGATATTCAAGTACTTGAACTTTCTATCCTGGACGAGGGCTTCTGCAAGCCATTCTCTGACTTTTGAGGGCACACTTTCATGAGTGATACTATTCCCTGCCCCTCCAATATTGAGCACTCCATGTACCATTAAGCCATCTGTCCCATGCATGGCAATTTTCATTTTTACAATCCTCAGTAGAGAAAATGGGGGCGGGGACGGGGCAGGGAAGAAACCCATAATTTTCATATTGTATTTTTACCATACCATACTATACCATACCATATCATATTGTATTCTTAACATTTAACAATTTAAAATTTAAAAATTGTCACAAATCAGAGATACCAATTTGAGTGTTTAATAAACACGACTCAGTTTAACATGGATATTTATTCTCAATATTAATTTCTATGGCAGGGAGGACCGAGAAGCACGGCTGTCTGCTAGTAAAATGGGAATTGTTGCAGCATTTCGATCGTGGGCAGGTAAGAACTTGGTTTAACCTTTAGAATGATGGCATACTTGGAGTGTAGAAAAAAGGTATATGTTACTGGAGGTGTGTGTGTGTGTGTGTGTGTGTGTATATGTGTGTGTGTATGCACACTCTTGTGTGCCTCACGTGAAAATGGGTGGTTTACAATATTGGGAGATCTGCTTTTCGTGGACCACATTTGTGGAGGGTGGCTGTAATTGTTCTGAACAACCATTTCAGATAGATGCACCAAGAGGTGACGTTTGAGAACTGATTGACAAATTAAAAATGAATGAATTATCTGGTCAGAACACACATACCCAAGATTTCTTTTTAAAAATCAAATGTGGTAATTGGAGCTCTTTTAACTGTTAATGCTTTAAAAATGTGCATCCTGCCTGAGCTCAATTAAGTTATCAGGGCAGCTTGCAGTGAAATAAACATATTTACGTCAATTTTAAAATAAAACAGCTGCAACTGCAAAGTTGAATCAACCAATACTGAATTGGGAGAAAAAGTAACAAACACAGCCGATACAATAAAGCCACTTCAGCTAACATTTAAAAGGCCTATGAAAATAGATATCCCGGGGGGGGGGGGGGAGGGGATTGAAAAGGCCATTTTGACACTAGACAAGCCTCCCCAAAGAGAACATTTCATAGATAGGGCACCACGATGGAAAAGTCACCTGCATTGGTAAGCACATGCCTAATCCCAGAAGGCTGTGGAGTTTGGATGAGCCAGTATTTGGGGAAGCAGACAGTATATGCAACTTGCTGCTGAAATTGGCCTTCTTATCACTGGATTGAAAGGCAGTGTATTGCGACTTTTAAAAAAGATTCAGGAGGAGCTAGAATTACTAAACATACGGAAGAAAAAATACTGCTGAGGAAGAACAAGTATCAGAATCAGTGCTGTCTTGTCAATCTTTTAGAACTAAAACATGACAAAGTAGCTGATAAAATAAGAACAAAATAAATTGTTGCAAGAGCATTAACAGGAAGGTTTTTTACAGCAACACAAAGCCATCAGGGAGGGGGTGAGATGAATTCTAGGGAGAGAATTCCACAACCCAGAGGTGGCCTTTAAAAAGCCTTTCGTTCCTGACAAACACAACTCTGAAATTGTCTGGACACAAAAGATAACTTCTTTAGAAGTTCTGATGGGAGGCTAAAGCTTTGTCGTTGGCAAAAAGACAAAAACAAAGGGAGATGTGGTGGAGGTTTATAAAGTACTTCACCTCACGGCTGTGCAGTTCATTGCCATAAGATGTGGTTGTGACCATTATCTTAGGTGGCTTTGGAAAAGGGTTAGGTGCATTCATGGAAGTTCTAGGCCTATCAAGAACTATTAGCCATGATATCCAAATGTTGTTTACGTCTTCAGAGGCAGTGAACCTCTGAATATCAGGGCCTATCATCTGGCTGCACTCTTGAGAACCGGGTGTTTGAGTAAAGAAGCTCCTTATCTGAACCTGCAGGATTCTTAAGTTTCAATAATTATCTAGTATGATTCCCATGTTTTCGGTAGCATCACTATGGGCAAGATTATTATTTTATCTTATTTCGTTGCTTCCTGGCAAAGCAAATCTGTTGCTCTCTTTGAGCTATATTATGATGATGATTCCATGATAAAAGAAACACAATTTGTTCATGGTCCTAGAAATCCTGTGAAGTTTATGCTGTGTTATTTTTAGACCAACTGTCTGTTGTTCAGCCTGTGGCAGATGTTTCCCACTGGGTGTTTGCACATGAGTTTGCCGTCATGTAATTATGCATTTTATTTTGTTTTTAGGCATTATTAGTTTATGCAAGCCTGGAAATTCCGGGATCCAATCTCTCATTGGAGTGCTGTGTATACCTAATATGGAAATAAGGGTATGTGTTTGACTTCTGCAAGATGGATTCCGAGGGCTTGTGTGCTTGCTCTTTTCGTGTAGACAGATGTACAAATTCTGTTTTCTCAGAAATCACTCTTGTGTGTATATATCTGTATTATTGGAGGTTGTGCACACATTGGCCCTCTGACTCCATGGCATAACTGACAGCTGGAAGTAACTGTGGCTGAAAGTGCCACAAAGCTACTAATGTTCCGGTGCAGTCCTCAGAGGCTACAGAACCTCTCTCAAGAATGGGCAGAGTTGGGGAGCTGTAAGTTGAGGAAGACAGTCACTTGGAAATAAGGGTAGGAGAGTCGGGATTAATCCTTCTTGGCTGCCTGAAGCTACAGTGTTGGAGCAGAGAGGGTAGGGTCTCTGACAGAAGGAGAGTGGCAGCTGACTATGGGTCAGATCTCTCTGAAGTGGCATCATCTGACCCAAATAATCATGAAATGAGAGCACGAGATAGGTTCTAGAGCAAGAGAGTTAACAAACAAAACGAGTTGAGGGTTTTTTATACTGTTGGGATAACAACTGGAAGAGTAAAGAGTGAATCTATATATACCCCTTAGCCATCTCATATTATTTGTAATGTGTTCACTAGGCATCTGTGACTTGCAACAAGCCTTACTGCTCACTACAAGATATTAAATGCTAAAACTGTATGAATGAGCAATGTTATTTTATTATGGTCATTCTTCCAAAAGGCAGAAGCTTAGGATGTGTCTGTAATGTTAAATTATTTGTGGCAAACTGTAGAATGCAACTCATGCTATGGAAGACTATTTTGCTTATTCCTTCTGTGTCCTCTGTGCCACTATGGGGAGTGGACAGCTGTAGGGGGAAATGGTATCAGCAAAAGTCACCCCTCACACTCCAGTGCAAATTCATTAAATTTCTACTGGTTTTTAAAATTCTGTTCCTTTTTATGTTTATAGCGAGGACTGCTTGAAGTTCTTTATGATATATTTCGCCTTCCTCTTCCTATCGTGACAGAAGAATTTATAGAAGCACTTCTCAGTGTAGGTTAGTATTGAACTTGCATGTTACTCTTCATTCATTGGGAAAGCTTATCAAGTCCATTCCTGTAATGGCTTCTGCATACTTGAGTCCTGCAGTTCATTGCTGGACTTAGTCATGAGTACCTTACTTTAGAATTGCAGTAACCAGAAGCTTCTTCTCTGTGTAAACGGCAGAAATATGTCTGCCACTTAGCAACAAGGATTTTTTGTCAAATCTCTGATGGAATACTCTTTCTCAGCACGGTTCTGGCAACACTAAATGCTTAACTTATAGTTGAAGCCTGAGTGGCTTCTGAAACACCCCCATTCTCTTCCAGATAAAAGGCAGTGCTAATCCAGATAATCTCAGTGCTGGGGCTGGGTTATATGTGCTCAGGTAGTCCTTCAAAGTATCTGGGATCCAGGTTGTTCAGTCAACACAACCTTAAACAGTTGCACAGGCTGCCATATGCTACAAGTTTTAGCAGAGGTGCTGCATGCTGTCAGAGAGCTGCCCCCACCAACAGTCTAGCTGCTGCTTTCCTCACTTTGTGGTGCTTGTGGACCAGACCCACGAGCAGCCCCACATAGAGCACATTGCAGTAATCCAGCTTCAAGTTTGCCACTGCATTGGCCAGGCTATCCCAATCCATATACAGTTGTAGCTGGCATGCCAGATGAAGCTTATAAAAGACACTCCTAAACACAGATATCACTTGGATGTCTAATGATAAAGGTGTATCCAGGGGTACCCCCAGGCTGGGTACCTGCTCCTTCAGAGGGAGTACACCTCCATTCAGAACAGGCAGTTGGCCTATCTTACGGAGCAGTCCTATTCACTGAGTCTCCATCTTCCCATCTCTCCCACCCAGTTTATTGTTCCTCAGCCAGTCCACAGTTGCATTCAGACACTGGTTCTGGGCTTAAACAACTACTGCTGATGCAGGTGTTGTGGAGAAATAGAGCTGTGTGTCATCAGCATATTGATGACCCTGTGCTCCATATCTTCTACTGACAGCTTCATATAGATGTCATTCATAGCATATTGTGGACTCCCTCTGTCGATGAAGATTCCACTTCCAGGTTTAGCTATCAGAAAATTTAAAGTTAAAGAGGGTTTAATTTCCTTGCAAGGTTCCTCATGATTTCTCCCTGCAAGCATGCTTTATCAGCCTGGCTATCTCCTCGACACCAACAGGCTCCTCTTACATTGTGACTGTTATGTTGTTGCTTTTTGTGCATCTGCAGGTCATGTGTACACATGAACAATTCAGTGGTAGCTGGCAAACAAGGGGAAAAGGGATGCCATAAAGCCAAGCAGCAGCTTGAAGTGCTTACTGATTAATTCATCTGCTGCTTGGCCTTCATGGCATCCCTTTCCCCCCCTCTCCATTAATGATTCCTGCAGTGTTCACTTGCACATATGAACTGCAGATGGTGCAAACAGCAGAGAAAAATAAGAGCATAAACAAAAGTATAACAAAGTTAAATAAGAGGTGGCAAAGGGCAGTGGTGCAGACAAATGCTAAGATTTTGTTTTGCAACAAGGCTGAATGTGTCATGCCTCTGTCCCCACTTTTGCTCTGATATGCTCAGGCAGTCCCCACACTTCCCTGTACCACCTTTCCACTCTTACGAGAATGTACTGCTAAGAGCTGGGCTTTTTCTGGGTATTTCACTAAACCCCCTTTATTCCTGCCGCCACCACAGATGCTATTTATCTGAATACTTACCCCTAATGTAGCCAAGAATGAGGCATGTGGTGTAATGAAACTAATTTGTTAAACATAAATAAAAAGGTTTCAACATGACTTGCGTACATAAACATACGGCTTCAGTTTTCTTGCATTCACAAGAATGGCTGTTATAAGGTGGTTCCTATACAGTAAGCCTGCAACTTGTGTGCATTCAGCGTTTCACGCGTGGTAAAATTAAAGGGGGAAAAATGGAAAGGGGGCAGGGCTAGAAGGGATGTAAGAAATCCACATCATCCCTCATATACATGGTCTCTCATCAGGGATGTTGCATTAACAGAGAACCTTTCAGGTTCCTTCCAACTCTCTGGTTCTGAAACCTGAAACATGTAAAGTTTTATTAAGGTGTGGGGAAAGTACATTTTACTTGCCTTTAGAATAGGTCCACCTTGTGTACTTTCATATCTCACTGACTTGTATGTCTTTCTGAGATAAATGTGAGACTATTAGTGCCTACTGTAATTTAAACCTGATACCATTTATTATGTCATTAACTAAATGGTAGCTTATGTGTATTTATGTAGCTATAAAGCACACACGATAGCATAGAAATCAAGAGGAACAAGCAGGAGACAAGGAGAGTGAAATAATAATACCAAATCAAAATGAAAGGTGACTAGGAATTATGGTACTGACATACTCCATTGCTCTTGTTAATTAAACTCAGAATTTTCACTCGATGGCTTTCTTGTAGATCCAAGCAGGTTTCAAGATAGTTGGAGACTTTCTGATGGTTTTGTAGCTGCAGAAGCTAAAGTTATATTACCTCACCGAGCCAGATCAAGGTATTTTGTTATCAAAAGCATTAATGCCATTTCTGCCTGCTTCACTTAGATAATATGAAAGAGAACATGAAGCTGATCTCTATTTTCTTTTGCACATTTATCTAGGCCTGACCTCATGGACAACTACTTGGCGCTGGTTCTCTCTGCTTTCATTAGAAATGGACTCTTAGAAGTACGTTCAGACTTTCATTTAAATGACAATTAATTACCGTATTTTTCGCCCTATAGGACGCACTTTTCCCCCTCCAAAAATGAAGGGGAAATGTGTGTGCGTCCTATGGGGCGAATGCAGGCTTTCGCTGAAGCCTGGAGAGCGAGAGGCATCGGTGCGCACCGACCCCTCTCGCTCTCCAGGCTTCAGGAAGCTATCCGCAAGCCTTGCGAGCCGGGGGAGTTCCCGCGGGCTCGCAAGGCTTGCGGGCAGCAGCCTGCAGCCGGAGCACGGGGCGCCCTCCAGAGGACGCCCCGTGCTTCGGGAAGGTGTCCGCAAGCCTCCCGCGCCCGGTTGGAGGTCCTGCCGGGCGCGCGAGGCTTGGAGCGGCAGCCTGCATCCTGAAGCACGGGGTGTCCTCCAGAGGACGCCCCGTGCTTCAGGCAAGTGTCCGCAAGCCTCCCGCGCCTGGCGGAAGGTCCTGCCGGGCACGCGAGGCTTGGGGTGGCAGCCTGCATCCCGAAGCACGGGGTGCCCTCCGGAGGACGCCCCGTGCTTCGGGAAGGTGTCCGCAAGCCTCCCGCGCCTGGCGGAAGGTCCTGCTGGGCGCGCGAGGCTTGCAGGCAGCAGCCTGTTCTGGGGGCTGGGGTTGGGGGAAGCTCAGGCTTCCCCCGCGCCAGCCCCGCGCCTGGGGGGGAAAATATTTTTTTTTCTTTATTTCCCCCCCCCAAAAAAAAACCAGGTGCGTCTTATGGGGCGGTGCGTCCTATGGGGCGAAAAATACGGTAACTGTTGTAGTAGGTTCTGGGCAAAGCAGAACAGTGAGATGGTTACAATAGAGTTTCACTTCTTACTTACTCCAGGGTCTAGTTGAAGTAATCACAAGCAGCGATGACCATGTATCCGTCAGAGCAACAATCTTACTTGGGGAACTTTTGCATATGGTAAGGAAGACTTTGTTTCATGTACTGATGGTTAAATTCTTTACTTTGGGAATCTTCCAAGGATGGAAGAAAACAAAATAATTTTAAAAGGAATATTTTACTTAAGGAAGAAGGTATAGTTACCCAATACAAAGAATACTCTGGTTCCCTGAAAGTGTGTCCATGCCCCAGTAAAAGATGCAGTAGGTTATAAAAAGGTCATAGGATCATAGAATTGTAGAGTTGGAAGGTACCCCGAGGGTGATCTAGTCCAACCCCCTTAAATGCAGGAATATCAACTAGATCATACATGACAGATGGTCACCCAACCTTTGCTTAAAAACCTCCAATGAAGGAGAGTCCACTGCTTATCATGGGAGTCTGTTCCACTGTCAACAAGTTCTTACTGTGAGAAATTTTTCTCACCTCCTTTCTTTTAACTTGAATCCATTGGTTTGGGTCCTATCCTCCAGAGCAGGAGAAAACAAGCTTTCTCTATCCTCTATGTGACAGCCCTTTAGATATCTGAAGATGACTATCATATCTCCTCTGAGTCTCCTCTTTAACAGACTAAACATACCCAACTCCCTCCACTGTTCCTCATAAGGCTTGGTTTTCAGACCCTTGATCATCTTGGTTGCCCTCCTCTGCAAACGTTTCAGCTTGTCAATATCCTCCTTAAATTGTGTTGCCTAGAACTGGACACAGTACTCCAGCTGTGATCTGACCAAGGCAGAATAGAGTGGTTCTGTGACTTTTCTTGATTGGAACACTATATTTCTGTTGTTGCAGCCTAGAATAACATTAGCTTCTTTTGCTGCTGCATCACACAGTTGAGTCGTGTGAAGTTGTAGTCTACTAAAACCCCTAGATCCTTTTCACATGTACTACTGGCAGTCCAGGTGTTCCCCATCTTAAATTTGTGCAATTTTACTTCCTTCCTGCTGCTGTGATTCAAAACCTTGCTGCCTTGCTGAGAACTACCAGAAGGACTAGGGACTGTGTGTAAGCATGGCTCCTGCCCCGTCAAGTTTCCTGTAGACTTGTCTCAGCTATGGAAACTCGGCTAGTTCACTGATGGATCCTCGCTTTCTTCAGTGCATTACCGGCCATCCCTGGATGGCTATTTAATGCTGGCTCAAGAGAGCACAGTCAGCTCTCATATTGGTTTACAAGCTCCATGTTCATCATTCATTATTTCTTCAGGTTGTTAATTTTGTACTTTTAGAATTAAGAGCCCCAGCTATAAAAGTCATTCTCCAGAGAAGCAGCTGAATTAGTCTTTTGTAGCAAAAGCAAGACTCTAAAGATTAATATTTTTATAGCATAAGCTGTATTAAATAGGTTACATTCAGCTTCATTAGATGCATGAATCCACTGCTTGTTGGCTCCTTTAATGCGGTTTGCTAACTGATAATATCTCAAGGAAGTGGGTTTTCCAAGAGAATTGTTAGAAATCTTGTCTAAGCCTGCAACATATACAAGCAGTTAGCAAATGCTTTTTCTACAGTTGTCAAATTCAGTTGTTTGGAACAAACTTAGTTGGTCTCTAAGGGGCTACTGGACAATTTTTTAAGTTTTTTAATTTATGTCAAATTCAGTATTTACTTTTAAAAAATCTATATTAGCTTAATTTTATCTGAAGTGGAAAGAGAAAGGAAAAGCGATTTCCTTTTGGCAGAGTTCTGTTTGTATACCATTCAAGTTAAATAGGTTTTCATGGGGTGGGACCTGGGCTGTAACTGAAAATGAAAATCTATGATTTTTCTTCTCTTTTTCAGGCAAACACCATTCTTCCTCATTGTCATAGCCATCACTTACACTGCTTACCAACTTTAATGAACATGGCAGCTTCTTTTGACATCGCAAAGGAGAAGAGACAGTAAGCATACATTTTAGTAACCTGCTGAAGTTACCCTAAATTGGCATATCCAATTCAGTATAGCTGCACTTCTTCTTACGACTTATCTAAATGGATGGCTTTAGTGATTTTATATTTGAAATTAGAAGCCATATTATCCAAAGAATACAGAGCAGTGGGCATGATAGTAAAAACATTTATTAATGGGTACCATGTCTGAAAGGCTTTCAAGATAAAAAAACCCAGCAGAAACAGGACGAAGAGCAGGAAGAAACAAAAGCCATGAAATCAAGGACACAAGTTTCTCTTCTTCTTTTGGCTAATAAACTAAGCTATCTAATATGTACATCGTATGTACATAAAGTCCACCTTCCATACAGTGGGGAAATTATGGATTTTTCTTCCCCCTTTGTTTTCTGTATTACAGATAGTTAATCTCATTACATGTAATGCCAAGCCATTTAGGTTCCTGGAGTGAAGATTGTAGCCACTGACCTCCTCCCCCAGTTTGCTGCTGCTGTGCTACCCAGGGCCAAGCCATGGGGCTAAGCAATGGTTTGGTGCTCCAGACGAACCACAAGCTATAATCAGGGGTAGTATTAAATAAATTCAAAGCAGGTGCATTGAAAGTAATGACCTGGTCAGTTTAGGTCCATTCATTTCAGTGGGTCTAAGTAAAAGTTAGTTGAGTACAACCCCAGGGTTCGTCCGTAGTTTACTGCTTGTGGTACAGGAGAGACAGTCCACAAGCCCATGTTTGGATGTGATACTTAGGTTGGGCACTGCAGCCATAATCTACACTTTGAGATCCTGCACATTTGTTCATTTGCAACAAGCCATGGTTTAGCTTTGCATGAGCTGCTCTCTGGCCCAGTGCTTGGTGCCCAGTGTTACACACACAGACTTCTGTCGTGGAGCAGATTTGAGGGGACATATAGGTTGCTGAAAAGGAGAGGAAGGGAAAGTTTTGTTGCACAAGAGAAAGTCCATTCCTTGTGTATGGGCAGTTTTGGATTCGGCCCATGGTCTTCCTTACCAAGTATGCTGACCTAGGCTTGGAAATAAACAAGCAAACTTGACGTTTGTCAGGTTTCCCAGAAAAATCAACATTTAGCAGATATCTGAAGAATTCAGGAATTCAGGCTGCAGTGCCTGTATCATTAGAGGAGCTCTACCATTGATTTCTAAATTAGGATTGTACCCAAAATTTCTAGCTGACGAATTTACTCAGGGATTTTGCTTCCTGTAAAACCTGAATATTTGTCTTGCCAAAACAGCTCTTGATTAAGACAGATTGTGCTTGTTTAAAATGAAAACAATAAGCACGACTTTCTAGTTTTCTTGTTCTGAAGTTTTCATTTGTTTTCAAGTGTGTTAATATTTCTGTTTGGACTTTATGTGCAAGTCCTGAGAAACGAAGTACAGTTTATAATATGTCCTGTACCCGCCAAAATTACAAGCCATTTACAAATTTTATTGGACACCCTACACAAAAACCATTCATGCAATGAGTGATTATGCCAGCAGCACTGGTTCAGTAAATTCGTAAGCCCTTTGGTATCTTTATTTCTTTTTAAATATATATATATAGAGAGAGAGAGGGGAAGAATTGTGATTCATAATGTAAGGAACGTTTTGATATATTCAAGACTATTTAATCTGGTGTTTTTTATCATCTTTACCACTCATTTACATCTTCATAAGTTTTTCCCATTTAAATATACGTACTGAGAAAATACCTATTAGGAATCTATTGCAGTGTTCATGTAATTGATTTAAATGTTTCCCCAGTTGACTCCATTTTTTTTTAAAAAAAACCTTTTCTTCATCAATACAAAAAAGAACTACTGCCATCTGACATGGTTACATAAAATCACTTTAAACCGTGGCCTAATCAATCTGTACCAAAATATAACTGATTTGGAACAATTGTATAAAGAACAATTGAATGAATAGTTATTCTGACAAGTATCAGGTAACGTCTTGTAAAATACAAATTGCATGAGAAAGCTCATTTTATCATATACCTTGGGGTGTGGGGGTGGAATCCCTAATCTGTTTGTAACAGAATGTTCAGAGTGTAATCACTATTTAATCCAGTTAATAATCTGATTTCAACTGTTTTCCCCCGTTGAAATAAAGTTTGCATCTTGCTCAGATCAGTAGCAAACCTCTCAGTGGTTTTCATGGTTCTAAGTTATCTCTAGTCAGGTTCAAATTCTAAATTTTCCCTCTTTTTAAAGCCTGTGATCATGAACCCAGAAATGGAGTGATTACGCTTTAATGAATGAGTTGTGGTTTGCTCCAGAATGCCTGTGGTAAACTTTTACAGTAGCCGTTTAAGTAGTCAAGTGGAATGTTTCCTGTCCTAATTTAAAATTGGGAGTGCTCCTAAAAGGAACAAATTTAGGCTCAGTTTATATCTGCCTCAGATTAGTTTCTGTAAAAGGTCATCCTTCCATGTTTAAGGCTTGGTCATGCATACTGCCTCTCCACCATTCTTCCTGGAGCTGTGACAGGCAGGTGCAAAGGTGGGCGGGGCTGTGTTCAGGCCATTGTTAGACTTTGAAGTCATCTTCTAGCACAAAGATCTCTGGGAAATGCAGTTTGACTATATTTCACATCCTTTCAGATCCTTACTAAAGGCAGTAATCTTATAGAAAATTTTGACTGTCAACTTTCCCCCTTGGTAGACGGGCCAGCGCTGCACTAAATTGTCTAAAACGCTTTCATGAAATGAAGAAACGAGGACCGAAACCTTATAGCCTTCATCTAGATCACATTGTTCAGAAAGCCATGTCAACACATCAGCGAAGGGATCAGTATCGTGTGCAGAAAGACATCTTTATTCTAAAGGTAGCTATTTTACTTCAATGTCAGTGATTTTCCTTATTTTTTTTTTGTAAACAGCAAATAATCTTCATTGATTTAAACTGAATTTCCAAAATAAGAGTTGCTGGGAATTACGAGTTTAAATGAAAACCTTACATGGGGAGATAGGGTGGGGAAACTGTTGCACTAGAAGTCTGACATGGCTTCTGAGTGCAGAGAGAGAGAAAATGTGGGCATACATTTTGGTGGTGGTCTGTCTACAGTTCAATATATTTTAATAATCTGCAAACTTGTATATTACTTTCTAATGTTGATGCAAGTGTTGCAGCAGTTTGAACTTTGATTTCTCTTCTTCCTTCTGCTATTCAAGGATACCGATGAAGCACTGTTAATTAATCTAAGAGACAGCCAAGTTCTTCATCACAAAGAGAATCTTGAGTGGAATTGGAATCTGATAGGGACCATACTAAAGGTAAGCCGTTAAATGGCTCCCTAATTAACGTCTGAAGATTAAATTGAAATGAAAGGAAGTGACATACAAGTCTTACAAAACTCTCTTATCTATTTTGCAGTGGCCAAATATCAGCGTAAAGTTCAACAAAGATGAACAGTGGAACAGGTATTCATATTTACTAAAGGGGGGCAGTTCCGTTCTGCCTTGGCAGCTTGCTTTTCCTCCTACAACTGCTTCTGGGGTTTTTTGACACTTGTAAATTGTGGGGTACATTGGCTGTACAGTCGTACCTTGGAAGTTGAACAGAATCTGTTCTGGAAGTCCGTTCAACTTCCAAAACGTTAGGAAACCAAAGCGTGGCTTCTGAGCCTGCAGCCAATTGGAAACCGCAGAACCCGTGTCAGATTTTCGGGTTCCAAAAGAAAGTTCCAGGTTTCAATTGTTTGGGGGCCAATTTGTTCTGGAGCCAAGGCATTTGAGATCCAAGGTACGACTGTACCTGAAGACTAGGACCCTCAGTCTCCTAGGTCTTAGTCCGACACTCTAACCACTACATCACACTGGCTTCTATTTGCTGTGTGTGCTTTTTCAAAGGTGAAATCTTTCATTATTTGCTTTATGTTTTTTACCATCACTTGCTAAGAAATGTGACACATTTCCTGAAAAGGTCTTGCATTTCTGTCTTTCCCCCAGTTACAGTTTTGAATAACCTGGCCTTTGTGTGTTATGAATTAGAAAAGGAAATTCACTGAATTGAATTAACTCTTGGGGGAAAAGGACAGGGATGCCGATCTCGAGTTTCCCCTGCCTAATTGAGTAAGATGGATGGTTACAAGGAATATGACCTTTCTCCTGATGACACCCTATTTATTGACTAACTCAGCAAAGTTGCTTCCCTGACACCAGTTTTTTTTCTTTTAAGCACCAGGTCAAGACCCTTCTTGTTTTCATAGGTTTTAAAAAATTGTACTGGGTACATCTCTCTGGTGCATCTTTGGACCAAGTTTCCCAGTTACTAGTTTTATATTGGTTTTAGCTTCTGTGCATGAGCTGATTTTAGATTTGGCTACTGGAATTTTTATAATTGCTTTTAAAGTTTTATTGTGTAAAGTTTTGAATTGTAGCTATATATTTTTAATGTTTCCATATATTGCACATAGAACTTAGTTAAATGGTAGCGTGCAAATAGAATGAACAAATAAATTAATAAATGCATATTGCTTGGGTTTTTTTTGTATTAGGAAACTAATCTGCTCTTCCATCAGTAAGCCAGTACAATCACAAGCAATACATAAGCTAGCAGCAGGGAGCAGGCAGGCTAGTATGGGAAGAGAATGTATTGACTTCACTATGACCCTATAATAGCATTTGCATTTAAGTACAGGTGCTAACATTTGAAAACATAAAGCCTCTTCGCCATCTCGTAGATAAAACAGTGTGGTATACACATTTGCCTGAAGCTTGCAACAAACTTTTCAGCACCTCATATGTCTGTTTAATGTTAGATTTATACGGCGACTGATGTATTTTTACAAGCCTAGCAGCAAATTGTATGCCAACCTGGATCTGGATTACGCAAAGGCCAAACAGCTCACAGTTGTAGGTTGCCAGTTAACTGAGTATCTCCTTGAATCTGAAGAGGTAAGATTCATTTTGTTTAGCTCTAAGTAACAACTAGCAGCTTCTTGTATTGTTGGCATTACCTTTTGGCGAGTTATTACCTTTATTGCATATTCTAAAAAAATATTAGAAGATTCATTAGACCAGGTTTGCCAGGTCTAAAGGAAGTGCAATTGGAACATTTAATTCAGGCTGGGAAATATGAGTATTTGCTGGTCAAAATCTTAGAAGAAGAATGGAGTTTATAAAAATGTATGGCTTATCCCATTGATATATAAAGTTGCGGGGGTGGGAATCTAGCACATTAGTAAGAGCCCTAAACTGTAGCAATTCATTAATAACATAAAAATGGCTTGATATCCCTGGAGTTCTTCATAGTCTTTACCCTGCTCCTTAACCTTGCACCGCAGGACATCACTCGGTAAGCCGTATTTAATGGGTGTCTAGTTACCCTCATCCTGATTGGCCAGTGAATCGCTAATTTTAAGCAACTCAGTTAACAAAGCAGTAGATCTCTCAGTGTTATGGGAGGAGAGATCTAGCTGGTTACCAAGTCACTTCTCAGCCAGCTCCCAAGCTCTGCCTATCCTAGCTGCCTAAACTCTAGAGCAGGTATGTCGAACCGGTCGATCGCCGGTTCCCCCCAAAAACCTCAACAACTTTGGTCAACCCAATGGTAGATCACTGCCAGTTTTTTTATAGTGGGAGTAGGTCGCAGTCTCTTGGGTGTTGGACATGCCTGCTCTAGAGGATGAACAGATGCCTTTGGTTCAGAATACACCAGATAATTAAGTTTATTATTCAGAACACACAAGTGTATCCAACAGTGTCGTTCAGCTGATTGTCAAGCTTAACATTAGCAGAGTGGCAGGGGAAGCAATTTCCAACAATTCCTTTTCCACCTGCAGATCCCTGTGCCCCCTAAATCTGCTCTGAAGGGTCTCCCAGTTCCCTGGAGCAGATTTATGAGTGGTGCAAGTGTCTACAGGTTGGAGAGGTAATTGCCAAAAATTGCATCCCTCTTCATTTCACTGAAGGAAGCCTTATCAGCTGAACAACACCTCTGGAAACAAAGCATAGAGGATAAAATTGCATCCCATTAAATAAACAAAGAAAAATGGTGGTTATAGATCCTGAGACTTGCCCTAGCTGGAATAATAGACACCTGATTCATCCCTTATGCACTGTAGGAGATCCATTATAAGAGGCAGTAGTGGATTCAGGAATCAAAGTCTCCTCTACATTCCTTTGTCTACAAACCAAAGCAGCATGGACTCTAGGAAGCATAATTAGTTAATTGTAGATGAAGACCGCTTAATGAAAAATCTAGCTTTCATATTTGTAGAGTTTTGCCTGTGAAATTTACACGCTGGCCTGATAGGCTTCAGGATATTGGGAAGGGATGATACAGAGGTCAAATCAACATGCCCTTTTGCCCCTCAGGAAGGAAGACAGGAAGGAAAGAAGGAAGGAAGGCAGGTGCAACAAAAGGTAGATACAGACTTCAAATTATCTCAACTTTCTGTAGCCTAATGCCTTGCATTCCTAATTCTCTGTGACACATAAGGGGTAACAATTTAAAGGTGTTCGTCCTAGTCTATTTTCTTCTTTTTGTTTTTGTTTGACAAAATTCAGAAGCTGGTGGAAGAGGGAAAGGACCAGAAGGTGTTATGTTCACTTTTGTAAAAACCTGTTCTTGAGCTGCTTCACTCGTCACCTGCCACTGTTAAGCGCTCACAAAACCTGGGACTGCCTGAGGCTTATTTACTCTTGTGACAGCCATAATCCCCACAGGAATTGACTTTTCAGCTCGTGACAAGATCATCTGAGGGCAGTATCACAGCAGATTCTCCCCACATTTCAAAGTTTACACATGCTGCAGCGTTTTCACAATGAAGGGTTTTCTTCTGGTTTTAATTTATCGGGTGCTTTTCGGTTTGATGGTTGCTTTCTTTCTCTTGTGCCCAAAGAAATGTAAATGGGTATCTTTTTTCCAATGAGGCAGGGAAATGCTGCCAAAGGAACTGAAGTTTTGTCCTTTCTCTTTGAAGCAGGATGGACATGGTTACCTCGAAGAGTTAGTGAAAGATATTGTACACTGGCTCAATTCTTCTTCTGGACTGAAACCAGAACGCAGCCTCCAGAACAATGGGTTACTTAACACTCTTAGTCAGCACTACTTCTTGTTTTTTGGTACGCTCTCCTGTCAACCCCACGGAGTGAAAATGCTTGAAAAGTGTAACGTGTTTCAGTGGTAAGCATTATCTTCAGAATCTTTTGAACTACTCAGATCCTAGAAGTTTTAAAATGAATTCTCTCATTGTTCTTTAAATTTCTGTAAAACTAGATGTGGTTAGTTGACCCTAATTTTTACATTTTTTGTAAAAAGAAAAAGATAGATTCCTAAAGGAACTAGGTTGCATACACTGTTAAAAGTTGAATGAGCTCATCCAAAACATCTATATTTCATCTACATTATTAAGAATAGTACTAGATTCAAAAGTGTGTAATTAGATTTTATGAAAGTGACAGTACATTCTTAAAAGATAATATGCAAAACATTTCCCCAAGTCTGTATTTGTTTATAGTTTTTAACTAATCTATAGACCAAGCATGCTATCATTTTTCAGGAAAAGAAAGCTTTCTATGCTGAAAGCTGGAGAAAACTCTTTAGCTTCCTTTCAATAGAAATAATTTATATCCTATTGGACTACATGGGATTTTAGGGTAACTTAGCAGGGGGACGCGGGTGGTGCTGTGGTCTAAACCACTGAGCCTCTTGGGCTTGACTATCAGAAGGTCAGCGGTTCGAATCCCCGCTACGGGGTGAGCTCCCATTCCTCGGTCCCAGCTCCTGTCAACCCAGCAGTTCGAAAGCACGACCAAAAAGTGCAAGTAGATAAATAGGTACCCCTCCAGTGGGAAGGTAAATGGCATTCCCATGCACTCCTCTGGTTTTGGTGCTCCGTTGCACCAGAAGCGGCTTAGTCATGCTGGCCACATGACCCGGAAAAACTGTCTGCAGACAAACGCTGGCTCCCTCGGCCTGTAAAGCGAGATGAGCGCCACAACCCCAGAGTCATCTGCGACTGGACTTAACTGTCAGGGGTCCTTTACATTTAGCTTTTTTAGCAGGGGGAATAAATATTCCTGGCCTGAAGAACTTAGTTTAAAATTTGATAGTGGAGAAAGGCAACCAAAGAAGGAAAAATGGAGGGATTTTTAAAGTTAGTCCAATTCTCATACAGATTTACAATTAAATGTTTCCATCTTTTTCCAGTCTTCTTAATCTTTGCTCCTTGAAGAACCAGGATCACTTACTCAAACTGACTGTTTCTAGTTTGGACTACAGCAGAGATGGATTAGCAAGAGTCATTCTTTCCAAAATCCTAACGGCATCTACAGATGTAAGTGACAACTCCTCTAAATGTCTACATTCTGAAGATTATATTTAAATGGTTGTTTTCACAGGGTGGTGTTACAGATAGAACGTTGGCCTAGGGAGACCTAGGTGTAAATACGTTTTTGATCTCAGCCCTGAGCTTGTGACTTTGGATCAGTCGCTTTCTCTCAGCCTCAGTATAATCTCAAGGCAGTATATCATTTGCATTTAATTTTAATGGCTTGTTAGGTGTTCTGCATCAATACGTGTGAGCTAAAAGTAGAGAGAGGTATAGGTGCAGCCACACCACCTTGACCTTCTTGTGTTAAGTGGTAGGGTCTGAACATGCTTAAAAGCCTCCTTCAGACTTTTCCGCTCACTATGAGAAGATTTTAAGTGGAACCTGCACTCTCGTTCATGCTGGTGTGCTTGTGTGTATACCCCTGACCACTTCCCACATTGTGTATGTTCAAGCTGAGTGCTTGGAGAGAGCATGGATCTGGCTTTCTGTGTGCAAAATCTACTTTTCTCTACTGTATTTCCCTTGCCGTTTATCAATTTTCTTGTTTACTTGCTTCGTAGAGCTGTAGGCTATATGCCACAAAACACTTACGAGTACTGCTGAGAGCCAACGTAGAGTTCTTCAGCAACTGGGGAATCGAGTTACTGGTCACCCAGCTCCATGACAAGAATAAAGCCATTTCTTCTGAAGCACTTGATATCCTCGATGAGGCATGTGAAGACAAGGTGAGAATCCTGCCGTCCATTCTTAAAGTTACCGTGAGTGAATACTGTTGTGTATCAGTTTATTGAGAAGCATGTCATACTTCTCATGCAATGGTCTTAGACCTGGGCGATATATCACCCAGGACTGGTCCGTGATGTCGGCTTCACTCAGCACTATATCACTGGTGAAACCACCACTGCTCCTGAGTCCCTCTGCTAGCGACTTCCTCCTGTGGGTATTGCTTGTTCCTCCCTCTGCATCTTTTAACTGCTCAGTGTGCAGTTGCTGCTTCCCTCCCAGCAGTTAAAGGATCCCCCAGCCCAGCACTGGCTCCCACCAAAGCGGGGGAAGCACCAGGGATTGGAAGGCCTCCCCATTATTGTATATATTGAAATTTCCTGCTAATTCCTTATTGCCCTCCCTCTCCCTGGCTCTCTCTTTTAGGCAAATCTTCATGCTCTTATTCAGATGAAACCAGCGTTGTCTCATCTTGGAGACAAGGGCTTGCTTCTGCTCTTAAGGTAAACACGAAATATGTTACTTCATATGAGAACAAACCAAATTAACTTGCATTTTCATAATCGGTGGACATGTTTATAAACAGTATATGATGATACTTTTTCAGGTTCCTGTCAATCCCCAAAGGGTTTTCCTATCTAAACGAACGAGGCTATGTGACAAAACAAATGGAGAAATGGCAGAAGGTACTTTTAAACAAATCCAGATCTCTCTGTAAAATTCATAACTTGAAATACATCCCTCCTTGTTATGCTGAGACTTTGCTTGGCTAAAGCCAGCCCTTTAGACTTCCCTAGAATGAATGTGCTAGCCCCATCCAGTCATGGTCCAGTTGTGTTTCTTCATTCAGAAGGTGAGATAGAGCCACTTGCATTGCTCTCAGGTCTGTGGACCCGATGGGTTTTTAAGGGTTCCTGAATTTAGGCATAGGGCTCAGCTTCATTGCATCTGACAGTCCTGCTTTTGTTGGGCCCATTATGTATGAGCTACTGGCATATGAGAACTGAAAAGTTAGGCTTACAGGCCTGATCCAGAATCGATTTTCCCACTGGGATTAGATTCTCTTTGGATAACTTTTGTTCAAACTGTACTTTATACAGTTCTGTATCTAGGAGGGAACAGCTCCCAGGGAGTTTAAGTTAAGAAGTTGCAGGAAGGAGGATTCCAGGTGTATATTTGAAGATAAGCACTCGGGATGCTTTAGAGGAAAAGGACACGGGGCAGATTTACAGAGAAAAAGCAGCAGGGAGGAAAGGCTAATCTTTGCCCAGAAGAGAAATGCCCGCATCAGTTTGCTCTCACCCACAGCTGCCTTTGGTTAGAAAATGTGGCTGCTGGAAATGATTCAACATAACATGTAGTTTCACCTTTTTTGAAAAAGGCTTTCTGGGCCAAAATTTGAAGAGGAGAATAAATCCTTTGGCAACATATGAAATGATACTTGAATGGTATTCACTTACTAAATGGGGTAGAGATCTGCTCCGTCATGGAAGAGAACTGTACAGAAGTGCTATGGAGAGGAAATTCACAAGTTAGAAACAATTTCCCCATTTATATCAGACAGGTTACTCTGTAAAAATGAGAGGCAGAGAATGTTATAGGGATCATAGGGTTTCAGCCATTTCCCAGTCTTGCCAACCATTATTCTAGAACAAAAGGCTCTGCATCGTGAATTAATTTCTTGCAAAGTGTTTAGCTAAACATCAGAATATCCAAGATCATGAAACAACAAAACATATAAAAGCATAGTAAAACTCCAAACATATTCAAAATTCTGTTAATGGACAAATTAACAATAATACAAAACTAGTAAAGATCAGGTGAAGAAAAATGGTTTTTGTATATACCAAAAGCCCACAGTTGTAGGAGGAAGGGAATTCCAGTGAACTGGTGCCACAACACTAAAGGCCCTGTTCTATGTAGCCGAGCCACTGGGCATGTAAATAAATATTTTCATTCCAAAATAGCTTTTGCCTTTTTAATCAAACGTTTGACTTCAAAAACCTGCAGTGGTTCCCTTGGAATTATGAAAATAAGGAGGTTTTTCTCATTTGGATCACAATGTCGCATGGTACAGTATTATGAATACAAAAATCTGCTGAAGATTTCCTTTCATGAGCTCTGTATCCCATCATTTTAGGAGTACAACTTAAAGTATGTCGATTTGATAGAAGAGCAACTCAATGAAGCACTTACCACATACCGCAAACCTGTTGATGGCGATAACTATGTTCGCCGGAGCAACCAAAGGTAAGCTAAGTTGCAAACAATCTTGATTGGTTTGCTAAAGCAATTGCTACATATGAGATGACTGTGTGACTGGTTTTTGAAATAGCCATAAGGAATAAAAATTGAACTACTTTATTGTCACTTCTACAACTTGTATACAGTGAGATTACACGAGCACCCCCCACTCAGCTCTATTAGTCTTAATTCCCCTCGTTTACTGACGCACACCCACCAAACCCGAAAGTCAGTTGCCCTGTTGTTATCTTTTCATTCAGCAGCCTAACAGCCCACGGATAGAAGCTGTTCTTTACCCTGTTGGTGTGACTAATCATGCTTCTGTATTTTCTGCCTGAGGGCAGGAGATCAAGAAAGTGCCGGCCAGGGTGTGAATCATCCCTGAAAATTTTCCTCACTCTCCTGAGGCAACGTTCTTCCGCTATTTCATCCAGCGGTTTCATGGGACAGCCCATAATTTCTTGTGCTGAATTCACCACCCTCTGTAGGCACTATCAGTTGATGTCAAACCAATGTACCAGACCGTGATACAGTATGAAAGGACACTTTCTATTGTTTACTATGCAAACAGACCATTTTTCTTTCTGGCAGATTACAGCGGCCACATGTCTATCTGCCGGTTCACCTCTATGGACAACTGGTACACCACAAAACAGGCTGCCATTTGTTGGAAGCTCAGGTGAGGAAATTTAATATACCTGATTCAAAATCAAGGTAACATTAAATACATTGCAGCCTTCTTGGAATTGGTCCCCGCCTCCAATTTGTTCGGATGTTACTGGTTCAGGGTTGTGTGGCATATACAACCTCATTGGGAAATTTGGCTTGGTGTTTTTTTCTATTTAGACTGCAGAAAAGGAATACATCCTTGCATGCATCCTTCTTCTATAAAATAAGCTTGCTTTGGCTAGGGATTAAATTTTCTCACTTAGCTGGAGCACATAGAAGACTCTTTTTCACTGATGGGAATAGTGAGTGAGAGATGTATAGACTTCGCTTGCAGAACAGAAAGCAAGGGTTGTAGCCAAGGTAGCACTGAATAAAATGTCCTGCTAGCACAAGGATTTTCACTTGTGCCGCAGGAGTCCCCCTCCGCGCATACCCCCAAAAATTATGCTAGGGGTTCCCCCAAGGTCATGGCTTCAAGTCCTACATTGGGCAAAAGATTCCTGCATTTTAGGCAGTTGGACTAGATGAACCTCATGGTCCCTTCCAACTCTACAATTCTGTGATCTATGAACCTTCTAAAGCAGACTGGGGGAGGGCAGGGGGGGGGGAGGTTTGCTGGGCAAGTGGACTTAGATGCTGCCCCAAGTATCAGCTGATAAGCGGCTTAGCGGATCAGCTGTTAAGCAGCTTAGCGGATCAGCTGATAAGCGGCTTAGCGATCAGCTGTTAAGCGGCTTAGCGGATCAGCTGTTAAGCGGCTTAGTGGATCAGCTGATAAGTGGCTTAGCGGATCAGCTGATTAGTGGCTTAGCGGATCAGCTGTTAAGCGGCTTAGCGGATCAGCTGATAAGCGGCTTAGCGGATCAGCGGCTTAGCAGATCAGCGGCTTAGCGGATCAGCTGATAAGCGGCTTAGCGGCTTGGGAAAGGGGGGGGGGAGGAAAAAACCCCTGCAGGAACTCGCAAGACATTTTCGTCTTGCGAAGCAAGCCCATAGGAAATTCGTTTTGTGAAGCACCTCCAAAACGGAAAACCCTTTCGTCTAGCGGGTTTTCCGTCTTGTGAGGCATTCGTCTTGCGGGGCACCACTGTACCTTTTTGGTAATCCCACGGGAATTGACCCATGAAAGGGGCCCTTCTGCAGTGGAACTGCTTTGGTCTGCCTGAGGATCCTATTGCCTTTTAGTCTTTCTTTCTGCATTTTTAGGCTATGAATATTGACTTCGGGGGTAGGGTGTCAAACACTGGTAGGTGGTGGTATCTTCCTCTACCAACTGTCGCCTAGCTGCAGCCATTCCATAAGGCTGCAGCAGAGAGAGAGAGAAGGGAGGCAGGGCCACAATATCAGCTGTGCTGAGAGATCAGAAACTTTTGGCACCTACTTTCCATGAACTGTTTCCAGCTGGAAGGGAATGCGCTTTACAGCACACAACATGTGCATGGATTTGCTTTCCCCCCTTCCTTTCTTCATTCTGAGATGCTATAGCTAAGGACTAGCTGATTGGTTCTGAAATGTGCAAGATACTGCTGTTCTTAGGTTTATGTGATCCAATTCCGAGCTGTGTCTTCTCAATTTTGAATTGCAAGAAGAAAAGAATACTGGCTTATTTTTATAGAAATTGAATTACATGTTTGTGTTTTTAAATATTTCTTCTTTGAAATGAAAAAAACCGCCTTAATTAATGACCAGAGCTGTTATCATTATTCTGTATATCTGCCTTTAGTTTTACCATTGGTGCTCTTGTTTAAATGGTTGGTGGTTTTTAAAACATTAGTTTTCAAAAAAAAATTATATTAAAAAAACCTAAACCTATTTGTATTTTGCTCTTAGCATTTATGTAAGTTTGAAAAGCAATTCAGCAGATTTGAAGAATGTTAAGCTTCACATTGAAGCTACTTTGTGATTGATCTTTTTATTCTTTAGAGTATTGTTCCTGACCTGAGTTACACTGTTCGTTCCCCCATGCTGGATAAATGGGAAGGGATTAAGCAGCTGAAGGCAGCTCTCTGGGCTCTGGTTAGTAAAAAAATAAAAATAAAAATCCACCATGGTGTTTTCTGCATTTCTGCAACCAAAATAACAAGAATGGTTCCCCCAAAGATGTGTTTTTGATTTTTTGATGTTGCAAATTACAGTGGTACCTCAGGTTACAGACACTTCAGGTTACAGACTCCGCTAAACCAGAAATAGTACCTCGGGTTAAGAACTTTGCTACAGGATGAGAACAGAAATCGTGCGGCGGCAGCGGGAAGGCCCCATTAGCTAAAGTGGTACCTCAGGTTAAGAACAGTTTCAGGCTAAGAACGGGCCTCAAGAATGAATTACTGTATTTTCTGGTGTATAAGACTACTTTTTAACCCAGGAAAATCTTCTCAAAAATTGGGGGTCGTCTTATATGCCGGCTACAGCAGCAGCTCCTGCAGCAACTCCCCACCAAAGGACAAAACAAAAGCAGATTAAACCAGAGGACACCAAGCTCTCTAGATGAAGCAGAAATACGCTTGAAAATTGGCCCCCCTTTTAATCCAAAAGAGTTCTCAAATTGTAGAAGGTGAGGTACATGAGGGCATTGCATCTAAAGACAAAAGACTCTGCAATGTGGAAGGGAGCATATCAACCCAAATTAACAATCATATTTGTGTGTGTGTGTGTGTGTGTGTGTGTGAGAGAGAGAGAGAGAGAGGAATATAAAAGATTTAAAGTCATTTCTGTGAAGTTGGGAAAGTAGGTAGACTGTAACAAGGTGCTATTAAATATTTTTAAAGAAAAGGCTTGAATTGGGTGAAAGAGACTCGGCTGTAGGTATAAAGAAATTTATAGCTTATACTGTATACAAAATATCTTAAGTTTGTTCATCAAGTTCTAATCAATACTCCTTTGTTATATGACATAGTATCAGCAGTATCAGCCAATAGCAAATTTGATCACAAATTATTTACATTACAGGGTAATATTGGATCTTCAAACTGGGGTCTGAATTTGCTTCAAGAAGAAAATGTCATCCCTGATATATTGGCACTTGCCCAGCATTGTGAAGTCCTATCTATTAGAGGGTAGGTATAACATGGTTTGAAATTGACTTTTAAAGGGTTTATAGGATTTTTATTTTGCCCTGGAGTCTTTAAAATGATTCTAGGCCATCTGCTGCTTCATTCTTTAGAAACGGTATATAATTTTAAGATGAAGAAAGGCACAATACCCTTTTTATTTTTTAAAAAATCAGGTGACTTACTATTAAAATAGCAAGTTGCTACTTACTATTATGTTAATAGATTTTCTGTGTGACATTAGTTTTGCAGCCTTATTTATGGGTGTGGGTGTTTTGCAGTCATGATTTGTGGAGCATACACAGAAGATGGGGACAAAACTGGATGTCTCCTACTGTATTGAGTGATAATAATTTTAAGTAATACAGGCATGTAATGAATGAAATAACACTCATATCTGTTACATGCCTATTTCTACTCTGCATCCCCTTAGAGAATAAGGCTGCAACCTTATCTAGGAATAAGCCTCCTTGAACTAAGTGAGACTTATTTCTGAGTAGACATGTACAAGATTGCACCTCAGAGTTGCAGGCCAGCTTACACAAAGGATTTGTATTTTTCATTCCACATATTTCTAAGGCAGCACAAGTAACATTTCCTGAGGGGAGGGAAAAGAAGCTGGAGAATAGTTTTGGTGGCCTGAATGTAAAATACATATTTGTTTGAACTGGATTTCTGTTTTATAAACATAGGACGTGTGTCTATGTGCTTGGCCTGATCGCCAAAACAAAACAAGGTTGTGACATTCTGAAGCATCACAACTGGGATGCAGTGAGACACAGTCGTAGGCAGCCTTGGCCAGTCGTCCCCGATGACATGGAGCAACTCTGCAACGAACTCTCCTCTATTCCCAGCACGCTCAGTTTGAACTCTGAATCTACCAGTTCAAGGCACAACAGTGAAAGTGAATCTGCACCGTCAAGTAAGTATGCATAGCAGTGCCAGCACAGCTAGTGAATTCCCTTTGGGGAAAAAGCAGATCATGGGTCTGGCCAGTGAAATCAATAGATTCGTGGAGCTGGAAGGCACCTCAGGGGTCATCTAGTCTGCAAAGCAGGAATCTCAACTAAAACATCCATGATGGATGGCCATCCAACCTCTGCTTAAAAAAGCTCCAAGGAAGGAGAGTCCACAACCTTATGAGAGAGTCTCTTCCACTGTTGAAAAGCTCTTGCTGTTAGAAAGTTCTTCCTGATGTTCAGTTGGAATCTCCTTTTGCCTGTCCATTTTGAGAAGGCATTAACTTTCTAATCTGAAGGTATTCTGTATTCCTACATGAGCATGATATATAGCCATACCTCGCGTTACAGCCACTCCAGATTGCGTTTTTTCGGGTTGCAGACCACTGAAACCTGGAAGTACCAGAACGGGTTACTTCCAGGTTTCGGCAGTCGCACATGCGCAGAAGCGCTAAATCGCACTTTGCGTATGTGCAGAAGCACCGAATCCCAACCCACACGTGTGCAGACGCGGGTTGCGAACGTGCATCCCACACGGATCACGTTCGCAATCCGAGTGTCCACTGTGTGCTTAATGGATAAAGACGAGGTTTATAGAACGTGGCTGGGTATCCTTTGATAAATTCAGAAATGGTTGGGCTATAGGGTGTCCAGAATGTCACTTTGCTGATCAGAGGCACTTGGATTCAGCTGAAAGCTTTCATCAGTGAAAGGAGGGAATTTCCACTTACTCCCCTCCCTACTATACTGTACAGTCCCCCAACCCTTTGGGGCAGATTGCAGCTGCTGGGGGAAGGAGAATTGGCAAAAACCTCACCCTCTATATCCTGCTGGCGGAAGCCTCTGCTGGGTCCAAGCGCCTTCCGTCAACAGAGAGACACCACTGGGTAAATCCCCCTTGGAGATTCTATAAAATCTTTTTTAGTTTCAGCTTCCAGTGCTGTAGAAAATACTACAAATGTAATCATTTTAGATCGTGCTTTTATCTGGTGTAAATGAAAAATTAAAACACTGATTTCCTTTGCATAGAATTAGATCCATTTCTTCTCCAGGATGATAATATAAAAGTGAAGATAAAGACTGGACATGAGAAAATTCTTCCTTGAAAGTTAGAAACTCTGATTTAAGATGGAAAATGGGAAACATCAAAATATCTGTTAGGATGGTTTGAGTATCACATTATATTTAAAGAGCAGGCTCGGGATACGTTGGAGCTAATTAGAAAAGTCAGGTGTGGAGAGTAAATACTATCACAAACTAGATAATGTGAAGTAATGTCTTGATATAAGAGAGGCACATTCATTTTAGAATTGATTTTAGCCTCCGGCTGTTGCTGGTCTACAACTCCCATCATCGTTGCCGATGTTGACTAGGACAGATGGGAGTTGACGTGAACAAACACTGACCACTCAACTACAGTATGAAATTACATTTCCAAAAGCGTAGTTTGGCTCCTGAAAACCCCTAAATTCATGTTAAAAGGAGAAACTAAGAGCACTAACATGAAAATTTTGATTGCTCAAGAAGTGATTAAGTGTTCAGTACCATTGTTTTATTTATTTCTTTTTTAAAAAAGGCCAGGTTCTGTTGATCTTACATATAACGTTTAATGGCACATAAAAGGATACTATGCACACACACCCCGTCTAAAATAGCCTTCAGCCATTACAATTAAGAAGTGTACATGCAGTTGGCTTTCATAGACTATGCAGTGACTTTTGAGAGCTAGTTTTAGTTACCAAATATTCATAGACCAAAAATATTTTAACAACAAGCTTTTATTTAAATTTCAGGTATGTTTATTTTGGAAGATGACAGGGTTGGCAGCACCTCTACCAGCACGTTTTTCCTAGATATATCTGAAGATGCAGAACAGAATTTCTGCGACCGATCTGGACCCTTGAAAGATAAGGATCGCAATCCCTTCCCCTTCTTCACTTCAAGCAGGCTTGTGAAGAACCGCATTTTAAATTCTCTAACCTTACCTAATAAAAAACATAGGAGTAGCAGTGATCCTAAAGGTGGCAAACTATCTTCTTCAGAGAGCAAGATGGGTTTGAGGCGAAATCGTACCGTAACTGAGCCTTCCAGCAGCATGGATTTTACACGAGGCGAGGACTTCACCCCTATGTTCCGGGTGCCTAAAATCCACACTCTGAAACTAGAGACGTCGTTTGTCGGGAGCAGACACAGCGAAGATGCAGATAGCACTCCAAGTATAGGCGAAAATGACCTCAAGCTTCCCAAAAGCCTCGGCCACGAAAACCACCGGGAAAATGCCAGCCGGGAAAGACTGATAGGAGAGGTTTCTACGCAGACTCACTTCAAAAGCCGCAGCTTGAGTTTCAATACGGATACCACCACGAGTGGCATAAGTTCAATGAGTTCGAGCCCTTCGCGGGAGACTGTGGGAGTGGACACTACAAACGTAGACACGGACAGTGGGAGTTTAAGTACTGTGGTGAGTACCAAGACAGTTAAAACAATCCAGTGCTCAACCCCACAGCCTAACCACCTCCCCCTCTCAAAATCAAATTCTGTCTCCCTGGTACCGCCAGGGTCCTCGCACACCCTTCCTCGGAGAGCACAGTCACTTAAAGCTCCTTCGCTCGCCACAATAAAAAGCCTGGCTGACTATAACTTCAGCTACACCAGTTCGCGAGATGCCTTTGGGTATGCAACACTCAAACGCTTGCAGCAGCAAAGGATGCACCCCTCTTTGTCCCATTCGGAAGCTCTGGCATCTCCAGCAAAGGATGTGCTCTTCACAGACACAATTACTATGAAGTCTGGTAGTCTAGACTCTCGACTGACACCAAACAGGTAAGCACTTCTTCCTCCCTCAAATTTTCTTCATGGCATAGCTAAGTAATGTTCTCATGATTCCAGCTGTTCAACAAGAGAAGAATTACCGTATTTTTCGCTCCATAAGGCACACCGGACCATAAGGCGCACCTAGTTTTTAGAGGGGGAAATCAAGGAGAAAAAAAATATCCGCTTCTCCCAGAGCTTTTTGGGGCTGCTGGGGGAAGCCCAGGTCCCTCCCAGCCCCAAAGAGCAAAGAAGTCAAGACAGCGAGTGGGATGGATCCCGCTGGTTGTCTTGGCTTCTTTAGCCGCGCACAGCCTCTCCGGCCAGGAGAGGCTACGCGCTGCTATGGCAATTCCCCCACCTCCCGCAAAAGCCCACAGGAGCTACGCACCCTTTAAGGAGTGCACGGCTCCTGCGGGCTTTTCTACGAGGAGGGAGAAGGGACTGACTGGCCACGTCAGTCCCTTCTCCCTCCTGGGGAAAAGCCCGCAAGAGCCGCACGGAGCTCTTGGGGGCTTTTCCTGCCTGCCTCCCCCCCCCCCTGCATTCGCTCCATAAGACGCACACACATTTCCCCTTACTTTTTAGGAGGGAAAAAGTGCGTCTTATGGAGCGAAAAATACGGTAGCCAGGAATTTTGGGTGTGACCCAGAGGAGAGCTGCATTCACAGCCGATGCTTCCTTTGATATGTTTTCCATAGCTTCCGCCACCTAAGAGGCAAACAGCCATTCAGTTTCAACTTCAGAGAAAGCTCCAGCAGCATGAGAATTCCATTTTTCAATCAGTCATGGCCTTCCACTTCAGGCAAGGGCTTATACCAGTGAATTCCTAGGGCATTCCTAGCACTCTGATCAACTAGGCTTTAGGGCAAATAGCAAACTCAGGGCTGTTGGATCCTATCCTAAAAATTCCCAGTGCAGGGCTCAAACCCACAACCCTAACATTAAGAGTCTCATGCTCTACCAACTGATTCACAGTCTCAATTCAGGAAGGGCTGCTGAATCCTATCATACAATCTCAGTTGCATTGAAAAACCAACCCTCCTGCTCAAAGCAGTTCACTCTAAAATAATAATTTTAATAATCAGGTGGGGGGTTTTTGGAAAGATGGAAAGATTATCTGAACTATTTTCAAAGTTTGTTTCTGACTGAGAATGGAATACGAGTGTAGAAAATACAGATGATACCAGTCTGGAACTGAACACAAATTTACCTCTTAGAAATACTTTCTGCTGGGAAAGCCATTCATAACAGTATATGGTGTTGCTCTCACAGTATGTCTTTCAATTATTAATAAACTTATAACACAGTGGCGCCTCGCAAGACGAAATTAATTCATTCCGCAAGTTTTTTCTTCTTGCGAGTTTTTCGTCTTGCGAAGCACGGTTTCCCATAGGAATGCATTGAAAATCAATTAATGCGTTCCTAGGGAAACCGACTTCAGACCAGGTCTGGGGACAGTCTGTCCCCCGACCTCTTCTGAAGGCTGGGGGGGGGCGAAGGGCTTTTCTTCCCACCCCCAGCATTTTAAAAAACCCCGGGACAGCGGAGGACTTCTCCGCTGTCCCAGGGCGATTTAAAAGCCCCCGGGAAGGCAGGCAGGGGGGACAAAGACTTTTGCCCCCCGCCAGCCTTCAGAAGAGGTCCTGGACCTCTTCTGAAGGCGGGCGGGGGGGCGAAAGTCTTTGCTCCCCCCTGCCTGCCTTCCCGGGACAGCGGAGAAACGTGCTGCCTTTCTCCGCTCTCCCGGGAAGGCAGGCAGGGGGGAGCAAAGACTTTCCAGGACCTCTTCTGAAGGCGGGCGGGGGCGAAAGTCTTTGCTCCCCCCGCCTGCCTTCAAAAGCCCTCCGGGACAGCGGAGAAACGCGCCGCCCGGGGCGATTTTAAACCCGCTGTCCCGGGTTTTTTTAAATGCTGCCGGGCGTCAGCGCTGCCGCCCGGCAGCATTTTAAAATCGCCCCGGACAGCGGAGAAGTCCCCCGCTGTCCCGGGGTTTTTAAAAAACCTCTCCACCCCCCCGCCAGGCTTCGGAGCAGCCTTCCGAAGCCTGGCGGCGGGAGGAGGTCCGAGGACAGTGGGGAAGAGGCGCTGCGCTTCCCCGCTGTCCCGGAGATTTCCCTATGGGCTTTCGTCTTGCGAAGGAAGCCCATAGGGAAATTCGTTTTGCGAAGCGCCTCCGCGACGGAAAACCCTTTCGTCTAGCGGGTTTTCCGTCTTGCGAGGCGTTCGTCTTGCGGGGCACCACTGTATATAAGAAGGCAAACTGTATACTCACCCAAACTAGCCGTACTTTAAAAATGCTGTCTGTCTTATTACAGAGCAGAGTTGTGATTTTCAGGTTATACTGACTTTGGTTCCCTTGATGCTGTTACAGGTTCATGAGAGCTTTAAGTTATGCATCATCTTTAGATAAAGAGGATTTATTAAGCCCTATTAACCAAAACACACTGCAGCGTTCTTCTTCTGTTCGTTCCATGGTGTCTAATGCTACGTACGGAAGTTCAGATGATTACATTGGGCTCGCTCTCCCAGTTGATATCAATGAAATATTTCAGGTATGTACAATGTATGTAAAATTGAGGTCACTTCATGCAGAACAACATCAGAATAATGAATCTGAGATGACATATTCCCTCATGTGAAATCACTTCATGTTCATGTGAGAGAATTTGGCATCTTAGATTCATTGTTCTAATGCAGGCATGTCCAACAGGTAGATCGCGAACTACCAGTAGATCACTGGACATCTGTGGTAGATCACTGGCTCCCCCCAATGAAGCTCAACAACTTTGGCTCCCCTAAAGAAAGCTGAACAACAGTGCCCTGCACCCCTAAAATGGGGCTTTTCTTTGACCTGAACTCCCAAAAAAGGGGGTAGATCACTGCCAGTTTGTAACTCTGTGAGTAGATCACAGTCTCTTGGGAGTTGGCCACCCCTGTTCTAATGAATATATCCTCTGGAAGCTACACTTACTCAGAGAAGGGATTAACATGCAGTAATTTGCTTAACACGGGACGCGGGTGGCGCTGTGGGTAAAAGCCTCAGCGCCTAGGGCTTGCCGATCGAAAGGTCGGCGGTTCGAATCCCCGCGGCGGGGTGCGCTCCCGTTGCTCGGTCCCAGCGCCTGCCAACCTAGCAGTTCGAAAGCACCCCCAGGTGCAAGTAGATAAATAGGGACCGCTTATTGGCGGGAAGGTAAACGGCGTTTCCGTGTGCTGCGCTGGCTCGCCAGATGCAGCTTTGTCACGCTGGCCACGTGACCCGGAAGTGTCTCCGGACAGCGCTGGCCCCCGGCCTCTTAAGTGAGATGGGCGCACAACCCCAGAGTCTGTCAAGACTGGCCCGTACAGGCAGGGGTACCTTTACCTTTACCTTTTAATTTGCTTAACTTACTTGATCAACTCTAGCACTATTTTTTAAAACCCTTATTTGAACCCTAAATCCACATATTTACTGGTTATCCATTTATTTCCAAATCAAAACATTAGTCATCATCCTTAAAGCCCTATAAATGACTTAGGTCCAGGTAATTTTGGGACTGTTCTCTCCCAGATCACCAGATCGGCCTGCCCACTTAATAAGGAGACCTCCCTTTGTGAGGCAGATAATGTGTTTATGACTGGGTTTTACACGTTTCTATGTTTTATGAAAATGGGGTTTTTTTTTAATGTAGGCTGCTCTGAGTAGTGAATTCGCACTCAAATTAAATGCTTGAATGAATGGCTATTTACCAAAAATAGAGGGCTTGTTCGCTTTTCTAAAAACTCACCCGTATAATTTTTCACTTCAAATATTTCAGGTAAAGGAAACTCCTTATTTCCAGAAGAAGACCATGCCTTCACTTGACGAACGAGGCGCTAAAGTCTTTCCCCAAGATGCTGGAGGTACCTTTTCCTTTCCACTCTCTTTTGTTCTACAGTGGGGTCTTCACATTTTTTTGAGCCTGTGGGGTACCTTTTGGAATTTTGCCAGTGCCAATTAATTTTTTTGCAGTGCTGACTAATTCTATAGAGCGAAATAATTCCCAAAAAGTCAGACACAGGGTTGAATGGCAAAAGCTGGTCTTCTGCCACACTTACCATTTATATTTCTTTTTCTGTCATTTAATTGGAAGCCTCTCCAGGTGTGCCGAGTGGTTCTTCCGAGATGGTGAAGAGTCCCTTCCAGATGCTTCGCCAGCAGATCAGTCTTACAGAGATAATGAACACTAGCCGCTCGGATGCTTCTCAGTTCCTTGAAAGCATGGAAGACACGGGGCTCCAAGAGCACACGGAAGAGAATTGCCTTTATTGTGTCTGCACGCACATTTTGGGCTACCAGCAAAACAAAGTGAATCCTTCCTATAGTCACACTGGTTAGTACAGCTGGACCTCTTTCAGTCAGAAGTTTAGCCCTTGCTCCTATTCACATACAAGGATATGGAGGCTTGGAGACCTGTTTTGGGCTTCTTATACATCATGGAATAACTTTCCGGAATGTTTCATAGTCCTGAGACCCAGAAACCTACATTGAAATTTAATGTAGGGTGTCATATTCTGCGGTAGTTAACATGGTTATGGTTCACAATTATAATTTATATTACATTAAATTATCTCAGCTGAAATGAAGCTATGTATTTTTCTTCTTTGTAAACCACTCTGTATGTTTTTTCAGAATTTTCAGACATTCCTTATTCTGACTGGTGTGGAAAGCCCATGCACAATCACTTGGATGTGGTCCCCCATTCCTCAAAGTTTTCTGGGATTTCGGGATGCAGCGATGCTGTATCTCATGGCTCAACCAGTAGCACCAAGAGTACGGATATCGTGATAGGTAAGTGGTTTTGTCATAAGCATAGCAAATACTGTTTCCTACCTCTGTAAGAAGTCAATATTTCTTTAACATTGCAGCCTTGAACATTGCATTTGGTCATGCTAAACATAGGCGCGGTGGCGTGTGGGTAAGAAGTCAGCCCTAGACTTCACGATGGTCGGCGTTCGAATCCCCCGGCGGGTGCGCTCCTGTCGGTCCAAGGCCTCCAACCTAGCGTTCAAAGCACCCCGGGTGCAAGTAGATAAACTAGGACGCTTACTAGCGGGAAGGTAAATGGCGTTTCCGTTCGCTCTGCCGCCAGATGTTGGTCACGCTTGACCGGAAGTGTCTGGAACAGCGCTGGCCCCGGCCTCTGAGTAATCCACAACCTAGAGTCTGTCAACTGGCCGTACGGGCAGGGTCCTTTACTTTATTGCATACATCTCTTCTCTAACTCAACTTAGGACGCAACCTTTTTTTTTCCTAACATTACAACTGCCAAGTAGTTGAAGGGGATGCGTGTTCTCTTAAGGGCCATTCAGCCAGCATTTTCCCACCTTCCCCAACATGTGCTCACACCCTACACCTCTGTGCATTATGTTTTGGGCTTGGACACAATTCCTTCATGCTGGTCTCTGTTTTCCCCCTATCTCCTTTATTTGCATGGTCAGAAAGGAATGGTCCAGGACCAGGAGAATCTGTGTTTGTTTCTTCTTGCCCCTAGACGTTGACTCCATATGTAGTCTTGAGGAGAAGAAATAACATCTGAGCGAGTCCTTGGCCTAATGGCAGGCATTGTAATGCATGTGTGGCACTTCTCAGTGAATACGCATGCAACTGCCTGTGATTTTGATTCTGAAAAATGTCCTTCCCCCTCAAGGTGTAAAGTCAATCCCAGATGATACCCCTGTATGCCGCATACTACTGAGAAAGGAAGTCTTGCGATTAGTGATCAACTTGAGCAGTTCAGTAGGAACTAAAGGACATGAAACAGGTCTCTTGACGTAAGTAGCACTCTCTTCTCGCTACAATTGTAGCTTTCTGCAAATAGTCTGTCAGCTGTGGATGGGGAGGCAGAGGAAAGGGGGATAGATGTTGTCATGGAATTCTACTCAGTATTGATCCAGAGACGATTCCAACAGCCTTTACCAAAGGTGTCATGGGCTTTGAAGACACTCAAACTCAGGACGCAAAGGAGAAACATGCTAAGAGGAAGGCACGCTTGGCAAATCCACACCGTGATCAACTCCCACCCGGAAACCAATGTCCCCACTGTAGAAGGACATGTGGATCCAGAATTGGCCTCCACAGTCATTTACAGACTCACTGTTAAAACCATGTTTATGGAAGACAATCTTACTCGGCTACGAGTGATCGCCAAAGAAGAAGAAGAAGAAGAAGAAGAAGAAGATAGTTAGCAGAGTAAAAACTTAAACACGTTGCAGGATTCCCAAAAAATAGACCAGAGGCAATTGTAGCTTTACTGCTACTGAAGGCAAATGAGCATAAATGGTCACAAATCCAATACCTTCAGGATTGGCACTATCCATAAGAAATCCAGTTCCAGCAGACTTAACTGAAACTTACAATAACTTATAATAAGTCTAAACCTTAACACTAAGCATACTATGTACAGAACACCACACCAGAAGGAAGAGAGAGAGAGAAGGTGAAACCCAGGCTCCTTCTGGCCTTACTATTATAGTCATCGTGACCTTGACTGAAAGAGATAACAGGACCAGTTTAAGCCAGCTGTACTCAGCCTCTCTGAAGGAATAACCCAAACATCAGGAACCTTCTGCTTGTTTCTTTCACACAGAGAAGCTTCCAGAACCATCTTGAATTAATTAGAACAGGAAAGATCTCTACACATCAGATCAATACTTTCTGCACTAAGAAATGCAAACTGACAGATGTAGCCCCCTCAGGCTCCTCACTAATCCTTTGGAGTTGGGAAGAGTGGGGAGGAAGGATGTGGGTGAGCTCCTGACATCATCAGCTCTTACCAAAGAGGACACAATGAGAATATGTTAGAAATCATTCATGCTGATTGGGGTGGAGGGAGTGGAGACTATCCCATTTGCCAGCCTAGAATCGTAGATGGGTTTGTAGGCCTTGACAGTTGTGGCACAGCCTTCCATTGAGAGATGGCATTGAAACCATGACCCATCAGCCAATCTCTTAGCAAAGGTGGTTGCTGAACTTGGTTGTAGAGTTAATAAAATTACTTACCCGTCATGCCTTCAGTAGCTGTATAACCACCCAAGTGTGAGATGTCAAGTTCATGCATTCTCTGTGGTAAGATTGTTGTGGGCGTGTTCGGTTCATATCAGATCTGCTTTTGACACAACAATGTCAGTGTAGCATCTGCAGCAGTTGAATCCAACATCTGGTAATGGGGATATGACCATCTTGGCAAAACTATTTTCCCGCATCTATCACATGCTTCAGTAATTGTGAGCATATGCCCTTTGAGGTTCGGATTAGACTCGTTTAAGCCTTTTCAGTTCCATATTTGCCTTTTCAGTCTGTATTTTTGTTCCTCTTTCACTTGAATTCAGATTGTTATGTCCTGAGATTTGTCTTCATCGATTTGCATGGAATATCAGATAGCTGCCTCAGCTTCCTTCCCTAAAGGTATTAGGTTTTGATGGAACAGTTAAATCATGGTGCATGAATTGGTTTCCTTTTCTTTCTGATTAGAATTAAAGAGAAGTTTCCCCAAGCATTCGATGACATATGCCTTTACTCTGAAGTGTCCTACTTGCTAGCGCACTGTACATTTCGATTACCATCCCGAAGGTTCATACAAGAGCTCTTTCAAGATGTCCAGTTTTTACAAGTGAGTCAAAGTGAAATCTAGCTAATTCTTGATAGGCTTCTAATACAACTTTTGTCTTTTATGCTAATTTACTAACATTCTATCTCGTTACTTCCAGATGCACGAAGAAGCAGAAGCCGTACTAGCAACAAATCAGCAAACAGCTAACCCATCGGCTGAATCCTGACCCCTTGCTTTTTGTGGTGTGGCTAAATATGAAGTCGTCGGTAGCCTCGGATAAGAACGTCTAATTGACTGGGCAAAGAGAAGAGAAGCATTCTGGGTACAAGTAACAGAACCTCTCCTCCATGGAACTTGCTTTCCCATCCATCCATCTGAGCCCTATGGGAATTGTTAAAACAATGAAAGTAGCAATTCCCAAGATATGCAAGGAGAACGAAGCACTGAACACTTGCACAGGTTTTCATTTCACTTATTTTGAAACGCAGCATCGTAATAATAGAGGACAGCGTGCAGGGACGTGTTGTACATGGTTGGGGTTTTTTTTACTTCCGTTCAGGACAGAGAGTGATGCCTTTTAAACCCTGGATCTCGGAGCATCTAAGGCTCTATCTCCATTGTCACCAATGGAGCTGCTCAAACTGTGGACGTCAGGGGATTAATGATGGCTTTCTGTGATATTTTTCCTAATCTTTGTGAAACACTACTTGGAGAATTTCTGATCTCTGAGAGAGGAAGAGAATCCTTAGTAACTTGGGGTAGTCTTAAGTTATTTTATTGTTAAAACAGCAAAAATCCTTATTTGTCTTAGCAGTCGGTCTAGTTTTGTTGCAGTTACATGTCATAATGTGTTAACTGAACCAGTTAAGGAACTTCACTACAGTTTGATTTTAAAAAAAAAAGAAGAACAAATCACTTCTCAGACCCCTGGGATCAGAATTTCCCTGTACATATAATAATGCATGTTGTTCGGTCGGGTTTTCTACATTAATGCTCATCTAGTATGTAAATTGTCTAAATGTAAACCTTTTAACAAGCATGACTTCCATCAAATAAGGGTGCATACTTTATCAAGAAAAACTAGGAAATATCTACCCATTGCTGCTTTTGATCAGGAAAGAGGCAAGGGGGAAAAAAAACACCACATTCCATGTCTTTCATTTTTCTCCTTACCACTTAGCTTTGATTATACACGTGAAAGGTTAATTGCAAGATAATACCACTAATGGTAGTGAAAAGCCTTAGAGGTGCAATGCAGAAATGAACACTCCTTCGCTTTAATCCATTGTTCTTTCACAGATCCTTTGCACAGATGATATGATGGTGACAATATATAGGTCAGTTCTCCCCACACCCTTAGAGCGATTCCTAAATTTCTAGAAGTGCAGACTTGAAACGCGTGCATCTTGTCCCCAGAACCGAAAGCCCCCCCTAGAATCAAATAACTTGATATATGCAAACCTGTACATACAAATGCCCAACCACTTTCATTACAAAAGACTGACTGTAGTGGATTGAGGTTACTCTGTAATTTCTTGTGTATGAAAATAGTACAGCGGGACTGTACTGGCAATCATATTATGTCTATCCATCCCCCCCCCCATTAAACAAATTCAAAGATTTGCTTATCAAGGTGTAATTAGCTCAGTTTTGCATATTTCTTACCGCAGCTTAATCAGTGTGCTAATTCTTTTTGTGGTAGGATTTTGTTCCACGTTATAGAACGTTAAGGATATAAGGATATTTGAATTTTTCATTACGCAATCCACTCTTGGTTAGGTTACCTCCACTGCCATTCCAAAAAAATGGTTTTGCTCCACAACACAGGGAAGACTGCAAAAGTTAAAAGGCCAAACCACCTCTAAGAGTTCTGCTTTCCTTAGTAGGAGACTGGCAAGTGCTTACAGCCGACATCTTTTTGTCAAGCTCCTTTTTGCAGTTCCTCGTGAGCCCTTCTTTCGCTTAGGCTCCTTGCCCTTCCTGTACAGGGCAGATGGAAGAACGAGCAGTTCTTGACCTCTGGAAGTTTTGGATACACAGCACCCGAATCCGCTTCTTTTTTATTCTCCTCCCACCTTCACCACGGTGGCTCCTCTGAGAGCGTCTTCCCCATCGCACTATGGCTTAATTTTGCCAAAGCCTCTTTCTCCTGGCTCGATGAGCTCAGAGTTCATCTCTAGCTTCCGTGTTTTCCTTGCATTGTCTACACTGCCATTCTAACCTGCCATTGGGGAACAAATAATTTTAAAGGAACAGGAGTTGTCTTGGTGGCGTGCTCATTTTCACTTCTTCTGACTCGATGATGACTTTGGTTCCAAGGAATGCGACACTGGGTGGGGTTGCGGGGCATGTAGAGGTTTTGAGACCTTCTTTCACATACGATGATGGCAGTGAGGGGGAGGTTGGTGGTGGGAATAAGAATACGTTACCAGGTTTTTGAAGTTACTTTCCCCCCATTTGTTGCCTTTGGAAGTTGTTAACTGGAAGGTGACAGGAAGGAGCAGAGGGCCTGTAGAGGCAGTTGTTACCTCCCACCCTTAACCAGACGTCTTATTTTCCTTGAGCTGTAGAGGAATGTTTGGAGTGGCAGTGGAGGTTCCTTCTAGGAGTTGGCCATTTCCCCCTTCCTATAGTATTACTTGTTAAAACTGTTTTCATCGGGTCATGTGGCCTTCCCTATAATTTAATCGGTAGAACCCTTTTAGGCCTATGTAAATGGAGGGTTCCCAGCAAAATTAGTTCCCTCAGTTTTTTTTTCCCCATTTCCATCAGAGCTCTTTGGAGATTTGGGTGGGGGGCTTCAGCTGAATTAATGTCTACCTATTAACCACATGGAATCCATTAATCTTATCCGCCAGTATTTACAGATATATCGTTTGGACTTAAATACAACTCCTTTGCAAAACCAAAATGCTAGCTACAGTAGACCAAATAGTGGTGTAAACCCCAAAGGAGTGATGTAGTACTCACGGTTAAAACAGGACAAAAAAAACCCCTGATCTAATACAGTAGTAGTGAACACTACCTCAGTTAGGATAGAGTAATTAAGACCTATAGATTGCTGACTCCAGCTGGAGTTAATTCATGAACTCTAGTTTACATTTCTGCTTCCAAGACAAAAGGTAGCTGAGGCTTTAAAATAATAATAATAATAATAATAAATCTATATTTAACAAAATAAATTGTTCAGGTGGTTAGGCTTTCCAACCCAGCTCTTAAAGAAAGGACATGAAAAATGAATAGGGAAAATTAAACAGTAAACTTGGATTGCAGCATCTACACCCAGAAAATTCACCACTACCTTTTTTTAAGTGCAAAGAACTCTGACTTCCATCCTGACCATCACCAAGAAAACTGCAAAGTAACATCAAGTAAATTTTTCAAGTACATTTAAGGAAAGAAAACATATTTCCGTAAGTGTCGAGGATGTAATAATGTCAGTACTGAGTGTTTCATATATGATACCTTGTGTTTACTTTAATTTGTCAATTAATTTGATGTGGCAGAATATATTCTGGAGTGTAACACAATGGGTTTTCATTGAAAAGCTGTGTTTTGAATCAAGTACTCCTTGGCCAGTCACAGTAGCATCTCATTCGGTTGTGTACTTGGATGACCTTTAATCCATCAAGCCAAATGCAAAAGCCCTGAATTTGAGGCTGTTTGACAACCTCATGAGTCTCAGAGATACAGAAAAATCAGAGGGCGGCTGTATATACCTGGTCGGTTGCATTTGGCTTGGAGGATCACAAATTCTACAGGGTAGCCTTAGGTGCTCCTGCACAGGAATTGGGCACCAAGCCAAAACCATAGGAAACGTTCCCAGAAAAGGAAAATACGATGGCTCTTGGGGAAACTCTCAGCATCGCAGTTTGAATTATGTGGGTGGTGTGGACCCCTAATACTATGTCCCACTGTTGCTTTTGCAGAGGGGTGGGAACTGCGGGCTTGGCTCAGTGACTTCTGAGAGATCAGTGCATCCGATCCCTGTAGAAATCCTTCTGCTAATGATCCCCCTTCTGACCTTGTGAGGTACGTCACAAAGGAGATTCTAAGTGCTTCAGAATGGACCCTTACAGTGCATGGGGGACTTGTTTAGATGCATCTATCTCACTCTCGTGCACATACACTGTCCTGCCCTACTTACTGCAGTAAAAGTTGGACAGAAGGGATTTTAAACAAAGATCCCAAACTTCTCCAGGTCTTTTAGAGGGAAAGGGGAGCATGTAGTATTCTAAAAAGCTGCATTTGAGAGAACACTTTGAATTGACATCCTTTTTCTGCTTTTGTTCAGTGCATTCCAAATATAATTCTGTAGGAATTTTGTTTTCCCCACGGCAGATAAGTTAAGGATTAGATATTGGCTGTGACGCAGACTGTTAGATCTGAGTACCTCAGGCTCAACACCTCCATTAATACATATGGCAGCAGCCTGATTATATGATAGGCATAGAAAACCTTTAGCCGTTACTAATTCTCTATGTCTTTAAGAGCTCTGATCATCAGACAAAGAAGTGTTAGCCCCTTGCAATATAGGCTTGGATTCCGAATTGGTCCTCTGCTCACATAAGCAGGGTGATTTCTGCCAATTCCCTCTCCATTTGCCAATGGCTCTCCCTTCTAGTCCCAAAGGCCCCTCCAACTCCCAGGATCATATTTTTTGAAGGGGCAAAGGGAAGGCAGGAAAGCTCAGATCTTTGAACTCAGTCCACAAAAGATCCAAGTCATATTGTCAGATGTGTGTCGAAAGGCCCATCAGTCCTAAAAAGACCTTGTTCATTATATCCGCCATATGGGCTGCTGCTAATTAGGCACCGTCAGTTTCCATTCCTCTAGAATATTTTCAGTATTCTACAAAATGGGTTGACACGTTCAGAAGTTTGCTTTCTCCGACACATTCTAGAATACTTGCCAGGCGGCAGAGAATGTCCTTCAGTAACTCTTCGAATAGCAGTATAAGGAAGAAATAAGATTCTGGAAGCATTTTGGTGGCAGCTCAGCTGCTTGCGTTTCTGGCAGCATTCTCTATATAAAGATTTTGCAAAGCTGATGCCCCAGTTGTGAAGTGAATGTAAGTTTCAGAGGGCATGGGGTCCGACCCAAAGAGAGGCACTTCTAAATTTAGGGCTTAACTCTGGCTCAATATTGCCTTAAACATATTGATCCTTTTTCTTTTTCTTTTTTGCTTTTAATAGGAAAAAAACCCTCTTATTTTGAGATTGCCTTCTGTAACAATCCTTGTTACCATACCCTTCCGCTTGCCCTCCTGTGCAGAAAAATGTGACAGTGCGGATAGGCATGTGTTTTCCAGTTAAATGTACCTCACTATTAAATGCTGGCTAGTGGTGATGGGAACATGTTAGAATCCCTACTAGAAATTTTCCTTTTCTAGAAATGGCAATAGCCCTGTCTTTGTTTTTTTGTTTTGTTTTTTAGACTTCTCAGCGCAAACATCCAGATTTGCTATGTAATTATCATTTTTTAATTCAGTCAAGAATGTGGTTTTTATTTGGATTTTTTTCTTTTGTAAAATAGTTGGATAGCGACGCCACAGCATGCAGAAATTGCACTTTTTTTGCTTGACCTGCTTGTATAAAATAGACACTATTTAATTTGAAAAAAATGTAATTTATGCCAAAAAAAGAAGAGGAGCAAGAGAACTTGCCATTCTGCCACTGCATAGGTTAGATTAGCACAAAACGCAAGAAGTTTTGAGGGGGGGGCCAGTATTTTGTAGGTGTAATTTGTGGGTGGGGGGGCGGGGAGATGTGCTTGAATAGTGGCTGCCAATAACCCAAACTATGTGTGATGTTAGAGATTATGTAAATTAATCATTCTGAGGAGTGTGAGAAGAGTGTATGAAAAACTTCAAAGCTCATTGTCTCCACCCCATGTGGTCATATTTCCTCTTTTTTTTTTCAGTTGACAAGCTGCTACATATTTGGAAGTTATATTGTTTGTAGGTCACTGAATGGACATTGAAATCTGATTTATATTGTATACCTGTAACATAGAAAGAAAGAAAAAGTATTTATATATTTTCTGTATGAATATTTCATTGAGCTGTGTATAATTTTGAAGAGGCTTTGTCCCCAATTGGATCTGCCCATCTGGATTCTTGATCTCTTTTTTGTTTCTCTTTCCTTTTTTGGAGTTTTGTTTTGTTTTGTTTTGTACAGTGTGTACAGTTCACATCTATGAACATTAAAAGCCTCCTGAAGCATTATCTTATCAAAGGGATGCATTGTTAATAAAATGGACTTTGAACTTGCTCTCTTAAAGTAAAATGCCTGATGTTTCACCATCTCCGAGCCCCTTTGCACCGTTTGGTGCTGCTGGGTACTAAGCCAATCACCTTACTGCAAATTTAAATAAATATTCCTTTCATTTTTGCAACTCAGGTTTGCCACTGAATTGAGACATTAGCCCTATTCAGATGTTTGCCTGCCAATGCACGGAGGAAAGTGGTGGAGGGTGGCAGGTCCTGTCTGTGTCCCTGCTCCCGTGTAATTCTAATTTCATTGAACAACCAAGTAGAGTTGTTGATGTTTAGCATTTGTCTTGTCTTTTGTCCTTTTATTCGCTGTGGCTTTCTCCCTTCACCCTTCATTTTTAGTTTTGTTTTAAAGCTGACCTGGAGTTTTCCTTTTGCCCACTAGGTGGCATTGTAACCTAATACTACACAACTGACTTACCTGGGAGTCAGACCCAGTGGTCCATCTAGTTCAGTATTAACCACACTGGCAGGCAGCAGCTGCTCAGGATCTCAGGCAGGGGTCTCTCCCTATCTGGAGTTGCCAAGGGTTGAACATTGGTCCAGATGCTCTACTACCCCGAGCCACGACCACTTCAGCTGTAGCTGGGATAATGAATCAGGAAACTGAAGATATTCACAGGTCCTGCTTTTTATAAGCACAATGCATTTCCAGGGAATGGTTCATTAGGTGAGTGTTCATATTCTAATGCAAGATTTGTTTGATCTCTCCCCCCTCCCTCTCCATGGTTTCTTTCTGAAATCGCTACAGCCAAAGGAAATAGCAGGCTTGTCAGACCTCTTGTGCTTTTCCTTCTCTTTGATTTGTCTGATCTTGGTCCCCACTCTCTCTCTTTCCGCTTGGTTTCTGTTCAAAAATGGCCAATGGTGACCCACAAAGCACACAAAAGAGCAAGGAAGTTGACTGTCCTGATAAGTGAATCTGTGGAGTGTATAGCAAGGTTCTTTAAGTGCAGATTGGTGAATTTTCGGTTAGCAGGACCTGCAGGGAGAGTACTATGAAAGTTCTTTATCTGATCCTAGTGCTAATAGCTTCCAGCGGTATAGAGGTTGGAAGAGCAAGAGTAGTCAACATGGTGCCCTCGAGATAGGTTGTAACTCCCATCATCCCACACCGTTGGTCCCCATGCTGGCTGGGGCTAATGAGAGCAGCGTTCCAACAGCTGGAAGGGCAGGCATTATTGTTTTGTTTCTTTCAAAATGAAAAGCCACCTGGAAAGGATACGACTTGGGCAAGAAAAGTAGCTGGTGAGAGGAGCCAATTAGATGAGCATTTATTGTTCCCAACCCTAATCCTGCAGAAAGCCATCTAATTAGATTTTAATTTGACCCTGACTTGTTTTTTAGGAGGTAATTTAATTATTGCTTGATTTTATATCATGGTTATAGATTTGATGTCAGCTGCCCTGAGCCCGGTTTCAGCCAGGGAGGGAGGGATACAAATAAAACTAACTTACTTATTTATATGGACCTAGGGATGTGGGTGGCGCTGTGGGTTAAACCACAGAGCCTAGGACTTGCCGATCAGAAGGTTGGCGGTTTGAATCCCCGCGATGGGGTGAGTTCCCATTGCTCGGTCCCTGCTCCTGCCAACCTAGCAGTTTGAAAGCACGTCAAAGTGCAAGTAGATAAATAGGTACCACTCTGGTGGGAAGGTAAACGGCGTTTCCATGCGCTGCTCTGGTTCACCAGAAGCGGCTTAGTCATGCTGGCCACATGACCCGGAAGCTGTACGCTGACTCCCTCGGCCAATAAAGCGAGATGAGCATTGCAACCCCAGAGTCGGTCACGACTGGACCTAATGGTCAGGCAGTCCCTTTACCTTTACCTATTAGACTCCTCAGGAACCAAAAGATTGCCCACTCAGTGTCACTTCGCTCTTGAATTTTATGTGCATTTTCTTGCAACACATGGAAAAGTGCTTTTGAAACTCTTGAGGAGTCCTCAAAGAGTTTCAAAAGCAACTCAAGTGGAAAGCATTTGAAGACCTGCCGGCTCCAGTAGAACGGTCCGCAATCTCAGTCAACATTTAAAGGAATCCCAAATGGTATTATTTAAATGCAAAGAAACCAGTAAGGCGCAACTTGGTTCTGGACTGAATTTAATTGGGAAACATACAGCATGACTGGACCAGCCTTGTTGAAAAGTTGCAAGCATTTCCATCTGAATTCCTTAGAAATGTGCATGCTTTTTGTGTAATTCAAGGTTGTGCTATGTTGAATGTTCTGTCTGTGCAAGCATGTCAGTTTACCAGATGGAACAATCGCCCTTCCATCCTCCATTGCATAGGGGGTCTCACAACACCACCACCCCAAGCCAATACAGGGGGAGCACAGAGGAAAGCCCTGTTGCGCAAGTGAAGGCTTTGCCTTCTGCTGATGGGGTTCATTAGGCAAATCCTGACCTAAGAATGGTAGACCTTTAAAAAATATTATTTTATTTTTACCCTGCTCTTCCACCCCCCAAAAGACTCCCAAACTGGCTTACAAAGATCAGTGCAAAGGGATTCCCTGCTCTCTGTATAAAAGACACAACACAAAAGGAAAAGGGACTGGGAGGGAGGAGGGGACGAACATACGAGCCTTCTTCCCTTAGTGGCTCCCCAGCTGGTTCCTCCCACCATTCCTGTGCCTTCAGCCAGTCCTTGACACCAGCTTTAGAAAAAGCCACAATCTCAAGCCAGCTCCACGCAATGACTTGACACAGATTGCCCTGGGATCCATAGGATCCAAAACTTCCCCATTCCCCTAACTGGATCAGCCCCAAAGCCATACCAGATTGAAAATTAAGCCACACCATGCTTAATTTCCCTGCCTTTGTGCTCAGTAGGAATTAAGGGTGGAATGGAAGAGAAAATGAAGAAAAAGTTGCTTCTTTCCACACTGACCAAAAGGAGGTGGCAGGGGCCTGGGTGCGGCAGAGTAACCGCCACCAAATCTCTCTCTGCCGCACCGTAAGTTCGTGGCCTAAATGTGTGAACCAAGCCTAATGCAGAAGAAAGAGCACTTTGCAAATTCTTCCAAGGAGATGTGCTGTCCCCATTTGCACTATGAGGAGGAGTGTTTGTAAGGATCACCACCTCTGTTTGTTCCCACATTAGGTAAAAAAGGTAAAGGACCCCTGGACGGTTAAGTCCAGTCAAAGGTGACTATGGGGTTGCGGTGCTCCTCTCGCTTTCAGGCCAAGGGAGCCGGCGTTTGTCCACAGGCAGCTTTCCGGGTCATGTGGCCAGCAGGACTGAACTGCATCCACCTTCAGTGACTAGGATATTGATCTAGAAGCAGCTCCTGTACAGAGCTCAACAGTGTATAGCAGTTAAACACACCGTTTCATCATCAGATCCAGGTGTGCTTGCTTTGGACTCTTGGGGCAGCTGGGGTTTGTAAACCAGTGGCTGGCTGGGTTCAACAGAATCCACACTGAGAGGCACTTCTGTTTGAGAGAGAGAGTCTGAATCACCTTGACTCGTTCCTGGTGGGTGGCTGATAGCGGTGCTTCCAAAACCAAAGCGCTCGAGTGGCTGGTAAGATGTCAAAGGTAAGTTGGGTTTCTTGCTTGCTGCCTTTTGTGATGGTAGAGTCTCGCAACCTTGCAGTTTAAAGTAGCTCCAATTTTCCACAAAAATTGGAAGTGGAGGCTGCTTGCTGACAGGACCTGGACACGTTCCTATCAGCTGTAATTTGCTGGGAGGGGTCTCGCTTATTTCCATGGGTCCGGACTTCACCTGTGGAATCTACAGAAAGCACACAAATTAAAACCAGACTCATAAAGCTGAAGATAAAGAGCACTCCCTAAAAAAGAATGGGCTGGATCCAGACTAAAGTGTTCTCCAGACACTCCTTCCATTTCTGTGGTAGACGAGCGTGAATTTAAAACATTTGTTTCCCCTCCATTCTCATTACCTTCCAACTCACAGAGGACAACTTGCTCAGGCAGCTTCCTGCAGTCAAGGAGGTTCCTTGTGCATTTTAAAGGTAAAGGGACCCCTGACCATTAGGTCCAGTCGCGGACAACTCTGCGGTTGCGGTGCTCATCTCGCTTTACTGGCCAAGGAAGCCAGCGTACAGCTTCCGGGTCATGTGGCCAGCATGACTAAGCCGCTTGACTAAGCCGAACCAGAGCAGCGCACGGAAATGCCGTTTACCTTCCCGCCGGAGTGGTACCTATTTATCTACTTGTACTTTGACGTGCTTTCGAACTGCTAGGTTGGCAGGAGCAGGGACTAAGCAACGGGAGCTCACTCTGTCGTGAGGATTCGAACCGCCGACCTTCTGATCGGCAAGTCCTAGGCTCTGTGGTTTAACCCACAGCACCACCCGTGTCCCTCTTGTGCATTTTAGAACCCTGGAAAAACAGAGTTCAGGGAAGTATGTAGGGCAAAAGGAATACTGGGCTAGCATATTTGTTTCTACAGCTCCACACACTATTGCCCAACACAATCGGAACAGTTAGGCATGTTTGAGTCCAGTTGGATGTGATATCAGTGGGACTTAACATGACTTAACTCTCATTGGATTTCCATTAATGAAGAATGGTTGATGGAAAATCTTGGAATATGCAGAGATGGCAAAATGGATGGCACTGACAAAAGGTACGATTTTAGAATCTTTTAAAGAAGACTGGAAACCTTTTCTAGTCTATAGAAAAAGTTATTTCCCATACGTGGAGTTTGAAGTGTTTCTTAAAATGCAATTGTATGTAATTTGGGCTAGAAACATCAATGTTGGGTGAGGGGGGAATCACTAGTTTTGTTGAATTGGAATATAATTTTTGAGTAACAAATGTATGGGAAAAAGAATAAAATATTATTATTATTAAAATTCAATTAAACAAAAGCATGACCAGCTTAGGGCTTGTAGCCAACTGAAGGGTAACGCCAACACGATGACTTTTAGCTGTGCAATGTAACTCCCTGCTCTAAATCTGCTCTGGGGGTTTGGGGGAAAACCCCAGAACAGATTTAGGGGCACGATGGGCAGAGAGTCACATTGCACACCT